GTACGCAAGTTCGCTAGCTGTCATGGTTTTCCGACAGTATAGGTTTTGCTGGGGTCTACCTATCTCAGTCTGATTTGCTGTGACAATCTTAAAAATACCTTCAAACGTAGACCTAGAACCTAGTGGAAACCTGCTGTAGGCGACATAACCCATTTGTGGCTATTTTCACTGAAAATTAAAAAAATCATAACTCACTCAAAACTGATCCAAAGATCCTTCAGAACTTCAACGTATGGTCCCTTTTGTCTGCTGTATATTCTCGATTTCTATAAAAGTTTTAAAAATATATAGAAAGTACTTTAGTTTTCGAAAAGATTTTCCACAAAGCTTTCGAAGTATTAATAATACTAGTAATCTGAAGTATTCAAATTTCTATTTGATATCTGATTATCTCACTCATTTTATACTCTTGCTTTTCTGCTCGGTTAACTCCGTTCTTTCCCTGCTCTAGAAATCTCTCTCTTTCTTCCCATTCACAAGCCTCCGAGATCTAATAAAAAGAAAAAGATTCATAATTTCCCATTTTTTGTATGAGATAAACTTTGTATTAACATTTTGCTGTCACTCATTCCTTTAATACTCTATAATCGACTTCATTGTTTTCTCTTTAAATGACTTTCGCTCATTTGAGCAGGCCGCCCAATGGTTGATAATAGCTTCTCACCCATAGAAGTTCTTCTATACACCAGCACAGAGTGTGCTATTTTCTTTGGTTTTACACAAACCGTATTATACAGGGTTTACTTACTCTTTCTGTTGGTACGCTCTTACCTTAGGCATCTAGCGTGTAGCGCTTTTCTATCTTTTCGGATACGACAACGAACAAGTACAATTGATCCACGAAGAACGTGTCGGAAACGAAAGAGAAGGTTGTGTTGGTCAATGTGGAGATTCGCCATCGATAACCAATTTTTATGCCGCTTACTGGTAGGAGAAGTGAAACACGTCGAGAAGCATTCATTGAGCATACTAGCGCTATCAAAAGAGGAATTTGAGGTTATGTTATTGTCATCACTGGAAGGCGTTGGATCTGGAGAAGTACTCTTACGAAATTTATTAATACAGGACCAAAACTTTTAGCCATACTGAAGGCTACAACAAGTAATCAGGGCAGGAGAAATTTGTTGCAGTTACATGGTTAGGCTCGAAAGTGAGAGAGAAAACATTTGCAAGTTCACATAAAGCATTGTACAAGTGCATTCTTTCACAAAACTACAATTTTTTAAAATTCGTTGAGCGAGCACCTTCTGCATGTGACGCATGGATGACGCAAGATATTCTATAGCAATCATCGAAAGCTGTATATTCGTATTTTTATTACAGTGTAATGAAAACTTAAATCTCAGCATCAAGTTATGAAAGCCATCATCATGCGAAGGATTCTAAAAAACGTTTGTTATTAAACAAGACGAATGAATCTTGTCAAATTTCAATCACCTGATGCCGTCTTATTTTAAAATGGGTGGTTTATTAGTCTTATTCCGATACCCTCTCTAGGTGTTATAACAGATGATGGTCAGGTAGAGTGAAGTCTTTTCTACAAAATGCTGAAAAGCCGAACTCTCTAGCTCTTTTGACTCTTAAGCTTTTCAAAAACATCAGAATACGTTTTGGTTCTAAAAGGGATAGTAGTACGACAGATAGTCCTATTGCACAGGACCGTGCCGAAGTCTGGCCATCATATATATACATATATATATGGTGTCTATAGACTTTTGTCGGAAGAATCGAAAGATTCCAAAGTATATAGATATTTTTTCTGTCCTGAAAGTTTTTTTCTCTCTTTATTGCTAAAAATATTTTATTTCATATTAAGTATGACCTACAATTTAAAGATTCTTTCAATATTCTCACGTATTGTCTTCTTTCACTTAATTTTGTTACGTTTTGTACTATCCTCTATAGGCTAGTTTCAATGAATAATATAGAATTCATAACTCCATCAAAATCGATTCATATGAGTTCAATATTCCAGTATATACTTAATTTGAGGTGTTCTCAATGTTAGCCATGCGAAAAACTAGAAGAACTCATTTTCATTGACAGGATCATCAACCTGATCTCTGAAAAGTCTTTTTGGTAACCAGCTCAGATTTTCTTTTTTCTGTTTTATACACTCATCAGGTACTTCTGTGATCATATCCAGAAACTTTGAGCTCATATGAATCGATTTTGATGGAGTTATGAGTTCTTTATTATTCAGTAAAACTAGTCTAAAACTGCTTATTTTCAGAGGTATACACCATGTTCTTTAACCTTCACTGGAAAAGCAACACTAGTCGAAAAATTAAAACTTTCGTCAGTAAATGGCCATAGTGTTCAGCATGATCCATTAGTTGTGTTTGTATTCCATATAATTCACAGCCCATCAAAAGTCACTAGATACTATAACTCGAACTCCCAAGAAATCCAATTCTACATCTAAACTATTGAAAATCAAGGTGTAGTTTAACTTCCAATTAGACGAGAAAACTTTGGGCTATATACTCGTGGAAAAAGTCTCAATATATTTCTGCTACAAATGTTTGAGACATGAGCGGCAAAGTCTTACGTATAAGAACAGGTTTCCAAACTTTTTTTCCAAAAAAACAGATGCGTGGAATACTTGCCTTTGAACTAGCGAAAACTTGAACTCGATATCCTTTGTAAATGTTAATTTGATTTTAAGAAAACTCAAAAGAAATATTGTCTGAGATCTAATGCTATATTCCACATTTGAAAGGGAAAATAATGATTGAAAGGAAGACTACTTTATTTCACACTTCTTACAAATTTTGGCTCGTTGTTTTATATGTCGAAGAGCTTTCTATAGAAGAACTTCTATGGGTGAGAAACTATTATCAACCATTCGGCGGCCTACTCAAATGAGCGAAAGTCATTTAAAGAAAAAACAATGAAGTCCATTATATTTTAAATAAAAAACGTATAGTTATGCATTGGTATAATCTATACAGCTGTGACCATCTATATCTCGGTGTATATACAGTATACCTTGTAGAGGGAAGTGCAATAATATAATAAATATGTATTTGAAAGAATAGAACACGAAGAAAAGAAGAAAAAAGTGAATGAAACAAAAATTGTTTTTCTTCTGTGTATATATCATTCGTGCATGTTGTAACGTCATAGGCTATATGACACACATTGATTATATAGTCTATATATCTAGTCATTTTTCAAGTTTTGTTTTATTTTTATTTTAACAGTTATTTATTACTAGTGGCGCAGCATCTATCGGTTTTTACGATTGTATGTGATGTGAAACAGAGAAGAATGAGATGTTTCATTCAAAGGTACACATTTCGAAAAGATTTCATAATTTTGTCTGTTTTTTTTATTATGCCTGACGTGTGATGCGAAATTATAATCTTGATAGTACATGAGAAAAAGAACATGTGAGCATTATAAACCTTTGATTAAGAAAACAAGATTAAAGAAAAAATCGTTAACAAAAATATCGTTTTTCTAAGTGTACTCTCTAAGTGTAGTCTCTTCTTCTTTCTACCCTACTGACCTTCGGTCAAAAAGGTGATTAAAAAAAAGTTCGTTAAGATATGTATTTTTCTAAAATACATGCTGAAAATTGCTGAGAGTATACTACTGACGATCAAGAGCATGATTGTCCTTTCAAAACTAAGTAAAACTTCTTTATTATGTAAAACAGCTTTTTGTTTTTTCTATTTTTGACATCCGAGTCTGATCAGCCACAGATCCCAGTATATGCTGATATTTCTCAATATGATCCGATCCTATGTAAAATATGACAGAAAAGCCGAATATGAAAAACGTCGAGATTCAAAAGACTTATTTCAATGGTAAATTTTCTCCAAATAGCTAGTTTTAAATGCTCCTCATGAATATACGATACATCGTGTTTCTGTAAATTGGACTCGTTATTCGTCAACATCGAAAGAAAGAAATCTATTTCTTTTTACATTCGGCTTTTCTGTCATATTTTACATGGGATCGGATCATATTGAGAAATATCAGCATATGCCGGGATCTGTGGCTGATCAGACTAGGATGTCAAAAATAGAAAAAATGAAAAGCTGTTTTACATAATAACGAGGTTTTACTTAGTTTTGAAAGGACAATCGTGCTCTTGATCGTCAGTAGTATAGTCTCAGCAATTTTCAGCATGTATTTTAGAAAAATACACATCTTAACGAACTTTTTTTTAATCATCTTTTTGAAGGTGTCTGACATTTCCTTTAATTCTGCAAGTCAGAAAATGAAAAAGAAAGTTAAAACTAAGAGAATGTAGGAGACCAAATGTGTTAAGGATATCGTTTTCAGTAGGTTTATGCAAAACTCGAAATATGTAGAGATGAAAAACACACCTAATATTTCTCAATTTTCCAATCCTTTTCTGGTTAATGATGTCACACTTCTTTGCACACGCTCAATATGATTATTCATTTGAGAATTTATAATATTTTCTATAAGGTTAAAGTCTTTCAAAATTAGAATGATGAGTGATCGACTATGGAATTGCAAAACAAAATAAGGTAAGAGAAAATGTGTGCGACATTTGATCTTAGCTATATCAATGTCCTTCTTTTGGGTTTTTATAATAGTTCCGAATCTCTCAACACTCTGAACCAATGAGGTCCAGCAGTTTTAAATTCCATTACATTTGAGAAGTAGCCCTTTACGTCTGTCTCACTTCTTGGTTTCGAAACGTGAATGCATTCAGACATTTGCTAAACTTTACAGACAATTACGCAATCTTATTGTACATTAGCTTTCTTATTCGCGTTCTCTGACCTTCTCATGATAAAAGTCTTTGGCTAAAGTTAGCCATCTACGAGTCAGAGTTCTACGAGTCAAGTTTCGAAATACTTTTCTTGTGCACAATCCGTCTGTGCTACAAAACAGCTAGTATCTTCTCATTCTCATTTGATAAAATAAAAAAAATCTCTCATTAAATTCTCTGTGGAGGTAATAGAAATGTGATATAAACATGTTATTTCAGATTTATGCATGAGTGAACATTATTAATGCAACCCAATATTCGTAGTGCATTGTTTGATGTTGCACTACAATTAAGTGGAACGGCAACGCCACAACCATCGACGAATATGTTATTATTATCATCTACAAATTCAAATTCACGTTCACCACGTCGTACACAATCAACTGTTCAAGATCGATCACACCAATCTTGCCCAACGGGTCAGAATTTTATACCACGTTGCAGTTTAACACCATTTTTAATACAATCTAAACGAAATCATACCGTCGTTCCTAGAGTAAGAATATTAAGAGACATAGCAACACAAACAGAATCTAATGAGACATCAGATGATCTAACATCGTCCATTCAACGTCCATCTAGTTTAAATCTAGTATCGAATGACTTGTGTATATCAGAAACAAGAGATTATACTTACACTGAACCAGCGACGTCTTCATCATCATCGGTATCAACAAAAAATTCTAGTGTTATTAAATCAACTTTACTCGGACTATGGAACGGTTTGAATAATGATGATAACAATATAATTAGATCAGCAGCCACTTCACCTATTGATAGTAAATATTATGAAGATAAAGCACGAACGGTAAAAAAAGAGAACAAACTATATTCTTCTTTGTTTAAAGAATACAGTTTTAAAAATGCTGTTCTAAAGATGAAACAATGGTGTCAAAAATTATCGGTCAGATATATTTTTATATTGCGTTAAATTGTGATGTGATGACTTCTTTTTAACAGCAAAAAATATTTCTAACGAATTGTCTTATGATATGTAGAGGAGTCAAGGAAAGATGCATCATGCATTAGTAAAACATTAACGTTTTCGTTTTTTCTTCGAATCACAATCATGAGACTCATAAGATCTTAACTAAGCAAGCGTTAGAACAATGGCGAGAAAAGAAGTGTTCGAATAAGATCACGAATATAGTATATATCATGACCGAAAATCTAGCCCATATATGAAAAATTCAGATTACGTTGAGATTTTAATTGAATAAAAACTAGACATTTTTTTTCACAATAAATAACACGATACCAGCAGCGTTTTTTAACTTCATTAAAATATTTTATTTAATTTTAATGAAGTTAAAAAACGCTGCTGTTATCATGTTATTTATTTTGAAATTATTGTTTATTAATCGTATTATTAATATTAGAAATCTTTTCTCATTAGACAGGAGCTAGAAATCATCTCAGGTAAGAGAGAAATCGATTGCTGATAAAATAGAAGTATCATCTGAAATACTTTTATTCTGAAATTTTTGAGGGGTTGCTTACATGTATTATGCAATCGTAGGCTTCATAATTTTAGTTCCTGATATAATCACAAATATATAAATACGGATGCAGTAGACCGTAATAAATAGTGACTCATAAAGATCAAATTCTCAGCTAGAAATTTATTATGGCGAAATATTTTAGACAATACCTAAATTTAGAAAATTTACATTTTATTGTGTGCCATGGAAAACAATATCTATTTTTTTTGAAATTCTGCTCGTATTTTTCCTGTCAATCTCTTTTATGAATCCAGACAAACTGATTTGTTTACCACAAGTAGATCCAGAGGTAGTACATTTTGAAAAAAATATCAGGTTATCAAGTCACATTGACCCGAAGATAGAGCGTTTAAGAGATTTTCTCACGCTTGACATCAAACGGTCATACCGTGTGATCTGTTTTATTTGGAATATGAATTGTTTTAAAAATGATCTGTTTAATTAAATAATATTTTTTGTATGTAGAATACACCAAATTGGAAAGCTTTTACTAAAGTGGTGACGTCATTATTGCATTTTACAAGAAAAAAAGAACGCTATGAATGGATTCAATTAGTGGGTCATGCAGGTGTTGTGTGTGTGCTGGTATAGAAGTTAAGCAGATTAAATGTGTATGTTGTTGTTTCTTTTGTATACAGGTGCATTTAAAGAAGGTTATCATGATGGATTTATACTCAAAGAATTGTGTGAACAAGAACGACAATGTTTTGAATTACTTCAAACAGATGCACTAAGAACATATGTTCCACGTTATATTGGTACTGTGCACGATGACGAAGGAAAAGGTAGATGTTTTGTGTTTATTACAATTTGTAATATATTTATTTTTCAATTTCTTATTTATAGATTATATTCAAATTCAAGATTTATTAGCTACATTTCGTGATCCATGTATTATGGATTGTAAAATTGGTGTACGAACATATCTTGAAGAAGATTTGGCAAAATCTGAGAAAGATCCAGAACCAAGACATGTAAGTCATCATTTATAGTAAATATTGTTTATTTATACAATTGTAGGTATACGTGTTTCTCTACAGGATCTTTATAATAAAATGATACAAGTTGATCCATTAGCGCCCACAGCCGAAGAAAATGAAATACAAAAAGTTGTAAAACCACGTTATATGATGTGGCGTGAAACATTAAGTTCAACAGCTGAACTTGGATTTCGAATTGAAGCAATTAAAGTGAGATAAAAATAGATGACCTTTTGTTTTCTTTTACATTCATTTCTCTTGTTAGAAATCACGTGGCTTAATGTCAAAAGAATTTCAACGGACTAAACTTCGAGACGAAGTCAAAAAACAAATAATGGAATTCATTGGAAATTCATTGCCTAGAGCGGTATGTATAAAAAAGATCCAATAATGTATCTACTTTACATTTCTATCTAGATCCGTTATTTGAATCGATTAAACGAATTGAAGATTACATCGTCTCGGTCAAAGTTTTTTCAAACTCACGAGGTGCGAATGTCTTTCTGTTGTCATATCGGTGCTATATCATTGACTATTTATAGTTGATTGGTTCTTCGTTACTGTTCGTTCATGATAATAACGAAGCATCAATATGGATGATTGATTTTGGAAAAACCCAACCACTAAAACCGGGAATAAAACTCACACACGATCGATCATGGATTCGTGGTTCACATGTAAGTTTATTCAATTGTGATTATATTGGAAAGTTGACAAGAATATTCTTAGGGTACCTATAAACGATGTAAGATATCCAAAATCATTACTAATTATGTTCATAAAAGTATGCCTACAATTGAATAAATAAGCGCTAAGAAATTTTACTTCTGGAAGTTTCATCTACTAAATACTACTAAAAGTGATTAAAAGAAATGCTCATAAATAGATGGGTGCATTTATCCGTAAATGCGAGAATGATAGTTAGGCGAGACCATCCCAATAAAATCTCTATGAGTTTCCTGTCAGGATTCAAGACCCATCCTACCAATATCCTGCTAGGATGTCGCTTTAATTTCTTAGAATCGTAACGAAATCGTAGTGAAATCAGATATATCCAAAGTATAAGATTGTTTAAGATTCTGATAGAATCCTAAACAAACTTAAGCAAAATCCTAGCATTTGACGATCCTGCCAGGAAGTTTTGTGGATCCTAAATGTTAGGATCCTGTAAGATCCTAGCAGGAAATAGACAGGAAGTGCGTAGAATTTGTCTAGAGACGTCTGCGAAAAAAACGAGAAGATGTAAAGGAAAAATGAAAGAGCTAGTTTAATGTATATTTCGTAAATGTGAGACATACAATTATAACGGGTGCGGCATAAAGAATGTCACTTTTTGTATTTTAAAATTATCTCAGTCGCCTCTTATCGTAGAGGGTTGAACTTAGTCTCAACAGATTTCCCGTTTAATTCTCGACAAGAATATATAAAAGCCTTTCATTCAAAGTTGAAATGAGAAAAACGAACCGTCTGAAAATGTTGAAATAAAACTTTCACACTCCCTGTGTCTCTTACACTTTTCCATTCTAATTTTATATCAGATTATGGCTTTTTTTTCAACTTTTTTCATTTGATAACTGAACATCTTAGACTGTTTTTCCATTAGTATATCTAGATGCATTAGAAAAATATGCTAAAGACAATGTCTAACTACGTCACAAAAATCGAAAGCTGCTTTTTTTGTCCAATTTCGTACAAAGTATTTCAGGACAGACACACCTACTTACTAAACTAAGGGAGAAGAAAAATTTTTTAAATATCGTTTAGTATCGGAAAAAATTGAGTAGATAATGTTTAAAGACTGATATCCAAAACGTACGATATGATAATTAATATATTAAAAGTATTATATGATTCTGTATTCAAAATCAAGACCCATTTTACAACAAATTAAAATCTGAATAGTGCTCAATCAGTTGGGCTATTTTTTATTTGTAAAAACTACACAGGAAAATAGATGGATGTCACTCAGTTGCATAAACACCAAGATTTTTGTTGTATTAAGTTAGATCATTTGAAAGTTGCTACTTCGAGCCGTAGAATAATACATATAATTTGTTACAGAAAGAGCGAAGATGAGATGGAATTAAAGAGTCGTAAGTTTTCCTATTGTCTTATACGTCCAAAATATCTGGACGTTTCTTTTCTAATGCGTTTAGATATACTAATAGTAAAGAAGTTCATTGGAAAAGTGTAAGAGACACAGAAAGCGTGTGAAAGTTTTATTTGAACACTTTCATGTACATCGTTAGAAGTTTAACCGAATATGAAATATATCATCTGCGAATGGAACACTAGGATAAGTTAACATCGTTCTAAAACTGAAAGCATCGAAACGATTGTTTTGGGTTTAGTTAATGAGCTGTAATAATTCTCTTAACGTTTAATTCGTACAATTAAAGTGTACAATATTGTTTTACAGAATTTAGTAGTTTTACTTCTGTCAATTTTTTGCAATTTTCGATTTAGCACTGTGTCTGATCGAAGGAAAACTGGAACTTTAATGTGTCTTTTGGTTTTCTGGCTCTATTATAAGAACTGGACTTTGATGTTCGATGCCTTTTCGAATAGAGAATCGTGTGGAAGATTATTTAATTTGTTTTATGAGTATAGGATGAATACTTTCAACAGTTATCGCTTCATTGTAAATAAAAAAAAAATCTCATGGTTAGAAAATCAACTGTTCTCTTGTTTCTTCAATCAGATTTACTTAATGAACTATAAAACAGTACATACAACAAAGTTTTACAATATATCAGAGAAAAAAGCCTTTTTATATCGTAAAGTAACAACGATTCTAAGTTCAAAACAATTTTATTCTTTCGTGTACATTTTTTTTGTTTAACTATAATAATTGAAGGAAAGATGTGATATGAATAGTTGAAATTTTGGTGGGCTATAAAAGATGTTGATAGTTATTATATTAAAATCTTCATCATGATCTTTTTTTAGAAAATAAATTTTTAATAATTTTTATGTGTTACATATCACAATGTATTATTTGATAGACAGATTTTTTTATCAGTATTTAGCATGATAAAAATATCTCTTTATTACGTCTATTACATTGATAATAGTTGCAATTTTATTTCTTTTTTTTTAGGAAGATGGTTATTTAATTGGTATTAAAAATTTAATTGATTTATTTACAGATATTATTGAAGATATGAGAACAACAACGATAACAAAAAAAAGAATTGAATGATAAGTGAATGATGTAAATAAATATAGTACGCTTCTTCTTTTTTTTTTTTCTTCTCGACATGATTATTGTTTATCATGATCTTGTGTATAGTTCATATTTGTAACGTTTTCGCTTATGTATTTGCGTTGTTCTGTCTTTCATATTGTTTTTCAGTTGCATAAATTTTCTTCGTGTTCGCTTCCGCACAAATTTTAACAATAACCAGATGTATAAAACATAGTGGTGTAATTGTTGTCATTTTAGTTCATCTTATTATCATATTGACTATTGGATTGATCAGAAATAGAATGTACGTACAGTTGGATACTTCTATACTATTTTTAATTCACTCACTATACTATTGACATGATTTTGTTGTTAAAACTACTATGCGATAAGAAGCAAAAAACAAAACTGCATTACATTTCTGAACTCTTTTGCATACTATCTTTTTTTTCTCATAAACAGAAATAAAAATGAGATGAGTTATATACACCAATACTGTCTTTTTTTTTTCTTTGTTCCTATCCTCGTTATAAAATAATTATTTATTTATTTTTTCATTTTTATTCTCATTCTATTTTTGTATACGTTTATGGATTCTTACTTCTACTGTTATAGTTATCAAACAGTATTTTTTCCCTCTACCATTTGAAAATTTTAAATTCATTTAGAATATGATCATCGTCTAATTTATTTTTCGGATTCAACTTATACAAGTAAATATTACCGACAAATAGTTATGAAACAATATTTCTAATATTAGACAAAAATATTTTCTCTTCAAATGGAATATACACAGCCTGTGTATAGATTAAATTTTGTTGTCAAACTATTCTTATATTTTCAGGAAGAAAAAGAAAAACGAGTTTAGCTCAACATTGAGCTATTCATTGAAAAAAATTGTGAATTATAACTGATATTTGTACACATATTCAAAACAAAATAGAAAAATCACAAAATATTATTAAATGAATGGAACGATAGATTTTGGACGACACACGGGTTTTTCAGGCGAAGAAAGTATAAGAACGAGAAAAACAGAAAGAAAAGAATATATTCCAAGAGAAAGACTTGCGTAAGATAGCAAAATTTGCGTTTTAAACGTTAGCAAAATGGAATGAAAACGACAAAAAGTAAAGAAAAGTGAACGATAGTAACAGTAAGAAAACAAAATAAATAAGAAATATCACAATTAATGCACTACTATTCACAAAATGAACGAACGACAACAGCCAGAACAAAAACGATAATTTTTCAGTTGTGGTAATGTTTGAATATTGCAAATAATAAATGACTTGTATTACGAGCATGTTGAATATCCGAGTAATGAGATCGAAATAAAACGATTATTCCATTTCTTTTTACTCTCATTGAAAGAAAGCATTGTGTATTTGAGCTATCTCACGTAATATAGAAGATTGCATTGAAAATCCTCGTGAATGATAGATAACATCTTTCCATACTACATGATCCTAAAAGAACACCACAATATAATAATACTTAACAGTAATTTATCATCTCTAAGAAGCTAACTTACGTCTGTTCTTAAATTTTTAAATTGAATGTTTGAGCCATAATGAAAATTCCATATTTCAGCTTCATTCCATGCATTATCAGTATTACGAATATCGTCAATATAACCTGAACAAAAAAAATGCAGTGGATAAAAATTTGTTTTTCTAAAAAAAGAGTTTATTTTCACATACCTCTGTAAACCATATGTGATTCAAATGTCGATGCTCCACTGTTACGAGCGAATGATGCAAAAAACTATAGAAATGAAAAATGATAATTTCAATCTGTATATAATGAAATCCTTTGACTTACTTCAATCATATCTTCTTCTGTGAATGATAAACTATGTTCAGAATTTTCATCGTCAAATGCTAATTTATTAAAGCTTCTACAAACAGAACTATATGGAGATTCTACACCAAGTATTTTGCCCTAAATAGTATACACATCTTCAGTTCGTCAATGATCTTCAACTATCATAAAAACTTACTCCCGGTAGTATAAAATTTCCAGTAGATTTATCTTTGAATACGAATGCTTCAAGCATTTGTCGTCCATCAACAATGATAGGTTGTCTACAATAAACGTTTCGATAATGATTTAATGTAAATATAGTTTTAAAAATATTTTGACAGACTACTTATTTTCTTTACAAACAAAAATCTATATGACAATCTATAAGACATACCCACGTAAATTTTTCCATCTTGTTATTAAAGCTATTATCGTTTTATTTGGACCCCAACGAATGAGTGCACCACGACCGCGACAACCTGTTCTGCCCATTGGACTTCTATTCTTCAAACAAAATTATTTAGATTCCACATTGTAAATGAAAATAGCGTGTCATTTTCATACGTACAATGGTATCAGTAATTGTCTGTCTAATTGATAACTTCCGGGCGTTTTTTCACCAGGTTTTGTTACCCAAGTTGTTCGGTCAACTGTCATCTATAGAAATTATGAAAATAAGAAATTATTTATACATAAGAATAATTTTTTACTTTTTTGCCATTTGGAAGTTCAACATCATCAATTTCATTCCATTTATAATCGGTAACTGGGATTTCAATATTTGACGGCCATGTTACTGGAAGAGTTGATGGTTCTAATTTACAAAAATTTCCTGGCGATGTCGCTGGACCTATGTCAGGAGAATTTAATTCATCACTATCGGATGTTGCCCCTGAACGTTTTAATCTGAAAGATGAAAATAGTATCTTTTAAACTAGGTAAGGTGATCGAAACAAAATAAATATTCACAAGTCTGATTCAACAAATGGTCTTTCTTCATCACGGAAGCAACTATGTTCTTTTGGTAATGTTACCACTGTTGGATCATAAAGATCAAATGGAATCTGTAAAGCAAAAGCGCATACACTATTTTTCGAATGGGAGAAAAAAAAACTTCATACCTCCCAAGGAATTAATTTTTCGGTAACTGGAAAACGTGCCTCGTTTGTATAGATATATGGTGATTCCCGAGATAGAATGTGGACAAATTTTTGATTTTCTTCAATTAATTTGTCTAAAATAAAAAGTCTATTTGAAAATTGGGCAAGAATTAAATCAACGAGTTTTAATACCTTTTTGTACAAGTGTGGAGCGCATTTTTTCTATTAGAATATGACTATCGATCATTAATTTTTCCAACGAAACAACACGATCATTGACTTGTCTCAATGTTTTCTGTTGAACTTCAATTTCTTTTTGAACATTAGTTACACTAAGCACAAAACATATTCAATTGAAAATGCGTCAAACAAATATAACCTTTTTACGCACTTGCTTGTTAAACCATCCAGTTTTGCTTGAGTTTTATCCGTCTCTTGCGTTTTATTATAAAATTCTTCGGCTTTATATTTCCAATAGAGATTAGCTTCACTATCTTCCCATGTTACCAGTCTGACAGTCTACAAATACTTTTTTTATAGGTTTTCAGCTATGCTCTTTCCAATGGTGTGCTTTACAAAGTTCAAAGAGACTTTCATCTGGGTTCTCTGGAGACCAGATCTCTAGAAAACCGACACAGAAGTATTTTGAAAATTCATAAGGCGCAGCATTGGAAAGAGCATATCTGAAAGCCTATAAAAAAGTGTTTGCAGGCTTTCAGAGTGCTTCTATAGCAAATAACAAAATCCTTAGCCAAAAGTGTTAAGCTATGCTTCGACGTTAGCGTTTCGTTAGATCCAACAAGTTTTTGCTCAGAAAAATCTACTAATCGCACATCATGCGATGCAGTTTCTGGCGGTGATTCTGAATATGTCATTTTTATTGAATAGAAACATTTCTGGGTCGAGATAAATGGAAAATATCTGGAAAAGCTAGGGTTTTTGAAAAACCCATATCTAAGTTTGGGAACATTTATGCTAGCTGTGCTGATAGAGGGCATGTAGAAGAACATTCTGCAAAAGTTTTGGACAAATTTGAAGTTGGGCTGTGGAGGGCAGGCAAATTTTATTGAAACTAGCAGTTCGGAAAACCACTTAGGAAAAACCTTTTTTTTTGCTCAGCAATCTCCCATTCAGACTCAAATTTTTTTTACTAATGTATACTAAATGATGTAAAGATTCATAATTGACAACTCATTCAGTTACTGAAGTCTTCGGTTTTGCGTAAAATTAATTTTTCTACGGAGGACGCTATTTTCAGACTAGTTTTTAAGTAGCTGGTTTTCCACTCTGCTTGAACTTTATAATAAAATTTTTTATGCCATCGGATAGAGCATGTCTTGAAGTGTATTGTCCACTATTTGAATCGTTTAAAAGTCGGTTTTGATTTTTTTACCTAATGTCCGCGTGGATGCACACTGTTGGAGGAAGTGCAAGAAAACACGTATCTATACGTCTTTCAAAAATGAAACGCTTTTTATTGCATCTAGGCGCGTTTTTATATCAACTGGTCATTCTAATTTTCTTCACTATAGTCAGTAGGAGAAGACAAACTTAAGAATCACATGGAACTTACTAGTCATAGACTCTAAACATTCGGAGGACTCTGAGAATCAGGATCGCTTTGATCCCTAAAACACGTTCGGGCGTCTTTTTTCTCGAAAAATATAAGGAAAACGCGTCTGAATGTTCGGCTTCACAACTGACATTGCAAGTCAAGTTTCTTGTCCTTATCTCTCCGCGAGTCGCGATAGAAAATCGCGTTAAGTACGCGTAACGCGATCGCAGTTTTGTCACAATCCAAGAATGATCGCTCTAAATTCGCGATTCTCATACCGTGTTTGTGATTAATTCGCTATTGCGTCCTCGCGATCGTGAATTCCACATTTTTCGAAAAATAAGAGTTGGTCGCAATCACTCCGCGACAATAGCGAATTTTTTAACGATACAGGTGCGAGTTGAGCGAATGGCACGCGATCATGAAGCAAGAACCGCGTACGTGTCGTAAATGAAGGAAGAAAGTCGAATTGGAATGTATCATCAAACGTGCAAAAAACTTTATATAGCTTGAATAATACGCATATCTTTGTCAAGCGTCTGAAAACAATTCTGATTAAATAATTTTATGACAATTAGTCATCGACTATTCTCATTTAGAACAAATATTCGTCCTGTTGTACAAATCCTGTCACCAGCTCTAATATGCTCAGTTGTTGAGGAGTGATCGTGTCATAAATCTTACTTAATCACGTTGCAAGTTCGCGATTCAATTTGGAGAATCACGAGCGCTTGTCGTTTCGCTTGTTGTTTCGCGAGTCTTATAGAGAATATGTTACAATTCGATCGAATTGGTTTTAGCGACTCGTGTCATGACAAACAATGCAAGATAAAAAAGTTCACTGTGAATCTCTATTTTCACATTAAAACTTAGAAAGCATCGCTTATTCATTCCTGAAAAACGTAATCTCGAACGAGCTTCTCTCGAGACTAAGCTAATGAAGACTAAGTTACGAGATATTACATCATTCTCAAACTAAAATCGTATCATTTTTCATTTAATTCAAATTATTATTTCAATACAGTTAAGACACTTACTTTCTTTGCTTCTGCACTTTCAAGCATTTGTTTGAATGGTTTACAATTTAAAAATCTCCCCAAACATGAGTTGTCCTGTGGTACTTCACGTTGATCATCTTTGTCTGTTATTTGTGGTAATAAACGTTTACCTTGAGCATTATTTGCTACATCTTTTACTAACTCTCTTGCGTTACTATTACTACTTGAACTGTATGTTCTTGTTCTATCTCCATCAGCATGTTTTTTCAAGTTTTGAACACATTTACTAATAGCACTTGTAATTACCATAAATATGTAGGATATAACAACAAATGGTGGTGGTAGACGAGGACGCTTAGCATATTCCATAACGATTTCATAACGATTAAACATCCAAATTTGTTGTGATTGACTTTGAACTCGAGCACCAGTCAAACTAGAATAAAAAAACAAGTTATAGTACAATAGATATAAGTTCAATAGTGATAGATTATTAAATATTAATAATTACCCAAACATAGCTGTTAGCAATGATGTAAGAAATCGTTTGGCCAAAAAGAAATATTGTATAAGTAGAAACCATGCTATCCAAGATGATTGATTGCATTTTTGTGATGATATACCATAACCTTGAGAAAATCAATAGTTAAAAAACATTTCATCAACAAATGAGACAATCGAATAATATACTTACGTTGATATGCATATAAATTATCGTATTTAAATGATAGTCCATGTGATAATCGTAGACAAGCGTATTCTGATTCAGCACTTGATGTTGCATTAATAGTACAATGTGAATGTGAATGTTTGAGATCTTGTGTATCACTGGTAAACAATGCCATCAATCCTCGAAATACGAATGCTTTAATGAATAATTCTAAGCTCAATGGAAAATGCGGATATAATACAGCTGTAATAGCTACACCACTAGATATCATAAATATAACAAATAATTGTAAAAATGTGATAAAATCATCCATTATCTTAAAGTTAGAAAGAAAAAAACTTAAAATTATTTAAACTAAAAAAAAGAAAATGAATCAACAACTATCTTACCATACAACGTAATCGAATCATCATTGGTCCAAGTTTAGGACTAATAGGTAAAAATATAAATAAAATACGGTAAAAATAATATATCAATCCAAGAGCCAATACGGATTTTGCTGTTAATACTCGACAAGCTAATTGAAGAAAAGATAATTTTTTGATTAATAGATACGCAAACTAAGCACATATTTGACACATACTTCCAAAATTCCATAATCCAATTATTCTTAATCCGAGATAAAGTGCTAAAAATAGTGTTTGAACAAGAACTTCTAATACAGCTTGTCCTAACGGTAAACTACTTTGAGACTATAAAAAAAAAACTATATGAATAAATAGTCAACATAGTAAGTCATGACGATCTACCTACACAATATTTTTCATATGCTACACGAGTATTTTCAAATGCAATTGATGCTGCCCAAAACCATACAAAACAATCGAGTAATAAATTACCACACGATGGCCATAATACAGCCAATGTAAATAATGAAAGAAATATCAAATATGCAAGCTAAAATTTCAATATTTAATAATTATTGATAGACTATGTAGTATATTTAATAGATTAACTTACAAAATTCGTATAAAATTTTGTAATTGGGGCTGACCATAATGTAGCAATTTCTTCGCTCGCTGACATGGGTGGTTCACCAGAAGGAGTTTTTGCAGCAGCACCTCGTTTACCACACAATATGTTAGTTAAACGTGTAAAAATGTTGTTGTTCTTTAAAATAAAAAGAGATAAGAAAAATAATCTCTCTGTTAAACAAAGAAGAATTTACCCCTCCATGAACGGCAACTTCTGCCTCATATGCAGCCATCTTCTTTCCTTCTGAAGAAGAGAAGAAAAAAAATGAACAACAAATATTAAATATTTCATTTAATTGAATATTAATGTTCTTTGTTACCTTCGATTTGATCAGCTGAGCCAATGGCTGGTTTCTTCGATTTATCACCTTGTAAATCGCTCACTTTTTTAGGAGGTGGTTCTGCTTGACCAATTGGTGAAAAATTAATCCAAAACCACATGGGAAATATGAGACACGCACTACATGTAATCTAAATTTTTCAAAAAATATTCATTAATAATTTATTAATTATTGTACAATATTTATTATAAATACTTTTAAATAATCAGGTGTTTTAAAAAGACCCCATGATAATTCACGTGGTGTTATTTCACCATAAAATTGTCTAGTTAACCATTTTTGACATGCAGCATGTGCCATAAATTCCTAAATATTATATTATATACTTATATATTTAATTAAAATTTAAATAAAAAAAAATAATTACCTTATTTTCAGCATTATATGCTAATTCAACTGTTGCCATATGATTCCAATCTGGATGTTTTTCATCTAACATTTCAAATGTTCGTTGATCATCTTCATTAAAACTTTTATCTAATACACCAACGGCACAATCTGAAAATTCCCTATGATAAATAAAGTATGGTATGCTGGTGTCGATATATTCAATTTTGACACTATTGTCTTGCTTACTTGGCTTGTTTTTCAATTAATAATCGTTGATATGATTCATGACAATAGGGTGCCAATTTTTTAAACATCATACAACATATCAATGCCATTGGTATTGGTTCTGATGAACGTTTCCATAATAATTTTGCTAATTGATGACGATTCATGAGTACAGAAAATATAATCAAATGTCGCAATGCCTAATAGAAACAAACATTCATATATTATAAAAAAAAAAAAAAAAAAAAAATTGATATGAACATCAAAGAAAACTTTATTTAGAAACCTTCTTCTCGGCTCTCATACGTTGTTTTGTTACACCACGATCAGATTTATCACCAAAATAAATACCCATAGCATTACAATCCATTTCGTGTTTACTAAAAAAATGACTAATGTCTGTTAAACGTTTAACAATTGTATTTAAACCTTGTTCAACAAAATGGTCTGGCATCTCTTCTTCATCCTATGATAAAGGAAAAAAAAACAACAACAAAAATAACAGAAGAATTTGAAAATACAATACAATTAGTAAATTGAAATCTTACCCCAGTTAATCCTAGAATACCTTCTAATGATGTTGTTGTTAAAAATTCTCGATCTTTTGATGATTGAAATAAATCAACTAATTTATCTGATTTTAAATAACGATGTAAAGAAAAATCTCTATCCAAAAATAAGTCAACAAATTGTTCTGATTTTTTTCCCAATAATGCTTTATCAAATAATTCATATGAAATACTATATTTTGTATCATCATCACGTTGAAATATTTCAGATAATGCTAAATCTGGTAATTTCCATTCTAATGTTAATTCTAAATTACTTTTAAATTGTGCTGTTAAACGATTTCCGCTTACAATTTTTTGAGCTAGAAATAATTAAACACAATATCGTTTAAGAGAGAAAATAAAAATGAGACAAAAAAAAACAACAACAACAGATGGTCGTATTTACATTGCAATAATGATGATAAAATAAATTTATGAAAATCATTTAACGCTGATGTTGTACTATTTATATCAATAAATGTTAAAAATTTTCTTCGACCCTAAAATAATAGAATAGAAATAATTTTTTTCTCGAATTTGATTATTTACAGTAGACAAAAAAAAATTATTTATACATCCATGAAACATTTTATTGTAAATGAATTATCTCCGTATCCAAATTTCTTTTTTTTTTGTACCATTAACTAGACCTGAATGTTAGCTAGAAAAATATAATTACTATGAAGTAACGATTCATTTTTCTTCTTGTATACATAATTTCTTAACTATATAAAGACACTTTATTTTTAAGCAAAAAATAAATTATTAGTATAGTTTTTCTTCTGGTTCTCAATTAAATAGATGACTCTCATCAAACTTTTTATTCATATACTATCTGATTAGGTAAAGTCTCACGACGGAAAGTTTCCAGGTGATAAATCGCTTTTTCAATGAAAATCATACGACTATAATCGATAACTTTTTAGGACCATCGGACATGTCGGATGTTCCTAAAAATTTATTTACTTAAGTAACTCGACATGCTCTACAATCTGAAAAGATCAGAAATTATTTTCGAGAAAAAAAATTTAGCTTCCAGGAAAACCGGATCTCCAGAGGCCTAAGGACACCTTCGACTATTATATTCGGAATCAGCACTATCGATTACCTATAGTCGTATGGTTTTCATTGAAAAAGCGATTTATCATCTGGAAATTTTGCCTCGTTAGTTGCAAGCTGAAAAGAATATGGAAAAAAAATGATGTGCTTAAAGGGTGGAAAATCATATCTACAAGTACCATTATGAAATCTATTAGAACAAAATTATTTTTTAACTTCATCAAAACTCAATTCCAGATAAACTTACATTTGTTAAGAAAGTCTATGAAAAATTATTATATTACTTAGTCTGTTTTCAAAAATTTTCTTATAACGTACAGTATAACAACCCAGACGAACTTTTGACAAGAAATCGAAAATGTGCACCCTTTCCAGATTCAAATAGCGTCTAATATACTTCACTCTATGTGCTACTTAATAACATAAAAATTTTTGTTTTAAGTATTAACGTGCGTTGGAAAACAGTAATCAAAAATCAGCCACGTAAGTAAAAATAAAACCTATATAGATTGTGAATCTCGTCATCTTCTTTTATCGATCACTGAAGACGTTTCTCCATTTGGGCTTAATCCTTCGTAGAAAAAAAATGGTTTCACAAACTAACTCATTTTCCGTACAGCTAGCTATATTTAGTATAATGAGAATCCCCTGTCTTCATCTGCAAAACACTGCAAACTTTGCCAGAATATTCTTTAATATATACTGTATCCATACAGATAGTATAAATATTTCTGAACCGCAGTGGTTTTTCAAAAATCTTAGATTTTTCGAGCAAAATGCACCCTTATTTTGCTGAATACTACTTTCTAAATGACAGAAAATGGTTTTTATGCAAGGAATCCGACTTTTGATTAAAAGAGTCTTCTATCCGTCTTCCTAAGCCGGAAATATCACTGTGTAACGGTCATTCGCGACATCTACATAAATAACTTTTAAACAAGAAGGAAAGATGATTCTCATATTTAATTAGATTTTTCTAGCTGACACTTAATGGCAAAAAATTTTCCTAGCACGTTTGGATACAGAGATAATTTGGCCGTAATGAAATGTCTCATGATGTATGAATAATTTTTTTTACCCACTGTATAATAAATGGTATACTTGATCAGCTTTTTTCGCTATTTGGATAAGATAATCTCGAATTTCATTTCGTTTTACATTGTTAGTTCTTAATGTTGGATATTCTTCTAATAATCGTCTGGCTATTTCTACTTTCAAATATGTATCTTCATATTCTTTATCGTTACTAAAATCAAAATAATTTTAATAATTTTTAACTGTTAGGTTTTTCTGTAGTATTATTCAATATTACTGTGTGATTCATTACTTTGCACTAATTTCTTCGTAAGCAAATGCAATAAGGTCGGCAGCTGATCCTGTTCCTTTGACAACAACACATGGAATATCTTGATTTATTTTATGATATAAAAGTTCAATTGTTCCAGGTGTACCACGAAAAAGAGCAGAAACCATTGGAAAACCTGAATCAAATAAAAATATATTTTAAAATTCAATAAAAATTTTCATTTATTTTTTTGCTTACCATCATCAGACCATGTTTTTTGTTGTGATTTACCTCCACTATCTTAATTAATTAAAATATATTTAAAAGATGTAAAATATAAAAACTATTAGTCTCTTTACCAGTTGGATTCTTTTTATTTGCCGATTGTTGTTGTATTCCTTTATGTAAAAAATTTTCAAAACGATCACGAAATTTATTTGTACTACATTGAGCTGAATCAACTAATTTTCCTACAGATTTTTCATCGCTATTCTTTACTTGTTCACGTATAATTATAAAATGGGTATGATCTCTATTTAATGATAATTGCTCACGTTTTTTTGTTGGAACTTTTAATTCCTTTTAAAAACAAAAAATTATTAAAAAGAATAGAAATCAGTAATATATTCTTCTATTCTATTATCTTACTATTTTTAGTTGATCTTTAATTTTTAAATCAATTAAATCTTTTATTTCATCGGCACAAACAATTCCAATAAGCATAGGAATTTGTTTTTGTGGTTTTGGTGTACGATTCATCTGAATTGCCCATGCTTCATCAGCTCGTCTTAATAACTACAAATTAAATACATTTGTATTCTAATAAGCTAATAAGCATAACACAATAGAAACTAACCTTTTCTTCACGAAATGCTCTACCAATTAATTGAGGAACGCCAACATCTAAATAAGATTTTCCAATAAGATCATAGAGGATAATCAAGTATAGATTATTAAATTTACCTAATCCGTGTGTAATGAACCATGCTTCTGATGCTTTGGTGGTCTAAAAAGAACAGAAGAAATGATTATTGAAAATAAACAATAATAACATTGATATTTACATTTTTAATTCCTTGTTTTAATGCGTCTATGTGTTTTTGCTTTTTCCATGGTTTATTATTTGATACTCCACTTAGTATGGGTATAACAATACTAACTGACTTTAATTTCCATGCAAGAATCATAAATTGACGTAATACCGTCAAATCAACATGATCATCGATTAATAAAAAATATTTTGACTAAAAAAAAGAAGAGAAGTTTTTAAAATAGAAATCACGTGAATACTTGATCACTCTTACCTCATTAGAATTGTCATTAACTGATTCTTCAAATTTCAAGGTACCCCAATAAGCATTATATTGCTGACGAAATTGTGTATAAAACTCATCACCTTCTAATTGTGATAATGGCTGAACTGATGGTTGATGATTAACTTCAGTTGTCGTATGGGCATTATTGCCTGAATTCATTTCATTAGTTGGTGGTGGTGAACTTTGAAATGGTTGTTCTTCAATGGTTGAACGCATCTAATGTAAAAGTAAATAATTTGCTTTAGAGATGATAATTCTTCTTTACTTTTCGATTGAGACAAATGCTAGAAGTTTCAAATTATTATTTGATTCCTCTACGAGGGATCCTTTACAGAAGATTAAACTAACTTTTCAAAGGTAATTCTTGATGCTGCTCATGAATCTGATATTTATTTGGACTTTTCCACTATATTCAGAAACCTGATCTCTAAGTACGTACCTCATTGTTTTAGTTTTAGAGACTGTGATACTGTCACTTTGTAAACGTTACATTTAAGAAAAATCTTTTAGACTTACTGAATAAGTTTTTACTGAAGTGAAAAAATTCAAGTAAAATAAACTTAAAAAAATACAGAGACGCAAGAATAATGATTCTCTAACTCAGCAAAAATCTCGATAGGCCTAAAACCATTTTCTTAAATGTAACACGAGCTACTCTACCAACTGGCAGCATCAGAGTCTGTTAAGAGCACGCCGCTCTTTTTTGAAAAAACTTTCAGTTTTGTACTAAACATATGAGAAAGTAGAACGCGTCTTCTACAAAATGAGACTGGACACGGTGCTCCACGATGTTTTTTACATACATTATGAGGATTTTTAGTTCGGAATTAGTTTTAAGTTGTTTTTTCTATCTCCTTTCCTTTTTCGAGTTATAGAGAAAATATTGAAAAAACGCTAAGAATCGAGTGTTTTAATTTTCAAAACCCTATAACTCGAGAAGGAAAGATGATAGAAAAAAAGAGTCTCCTGGCAAATATTGTTAGGTACATATGATAAAATTTTTAGCCCGATCGGATGAGTTTTTCGAGGTGTCGTAATGTACCGATATGAAAAATCGAGTTTTCCAGAAATCTCTTGACGGATGAAAACTAAAGAGTTGTAACAGAGACGAAAACATGCAGAAAAAGTTTCTAACGCACCCTGAAAATATTGTCTTTATCGCTTTTAGGTTTTTTTGACAGCATGTTTATGAAGAGTCATAAAAGAGGAGGGGGAAGGGTTGGAACACTAAAACTATGAATCGTAAAGTATCAATTTTACTTTTGAACTAAATTATCCAAAAGTATACTGTGATGCGTTCGATTCCTCATCCTATGCACTACTATATAGTAATGCACTATCCCAGGTCAAACAAATCGTAAACGATGGTATCTGAATCAGACAGAATCGTATGAAAATCATATATGAATCGTGGTATCTGATTTGTCTTCTGGATCGTATAATACGATCGTACTACATCGTCTACGATCGTACAACTTCGTATGAAATCGTATAGTACGAATCAGAGGACAAATCAGATACCACGATTCGTCTATAAATCGTACATAATCGTATATGATTTCAATATGATTCGTATATGATCTTGTACAATCGGATAGTACGGTCCAATCACCTGGGTGTAAAGTGTGTTCTACTCCTACTGCTAGCTTATAACCTTGGACTTCAGACACATTCACAAGATATTATAGAGTAGAGGCACGTGTGCCAGAGTGAAATACGTGGCACAATATCGAGAGGATCGGACGAGTATAGATCAACATGTGTCTTCCGATGTGGTAACTACATACGCACAACAGGAACGGTGTATATATTTTGTTGAATACGAGTTTCGACGGTACAATTTCAACCTATAATTAATAGGTTATAAACTTCGTAAATGAATTATTTCTAAATTATAAATATTAAAATCTATCCTTAGGAAACGTGAGTCAAAAAACCATTTTCTTTTGACAAAAAAACTATGCATTCATGCAGGTAACCAGTTTAATAACCATATCGATTCAATCAAAAAATATGTGATTTTCATAAAGACTAAATGTGACGTTGTCTGTCACTCCCAATTTAGAACGGTGAAAGTAATTAGCGATACTTCTCTCTGTTCACGAAACCAAACTTTATATTTTCTTGTTTATATAATAATTAACAAGCATAAAATAGTAATAGTAAAATATATTTACTGTTTTTACTGTCGAAAGTAAGGTGTAAAACGCTTCTATTTCGTTTAGTAACAGAATCAATATTTGTAACTTGAATTTTTTAATTCTTTGATTTTAGTCTATACACGCATGAAAGTTTTATATGGTAAATATATGAGTCTGTAAATAAAAAAATATTTGCAATAAATTAACGTCAGATAGAGCAGAATGTGTTAATCATGCATAATTTAATATATCTGGCGATGATTAAGTATGTTGAAGTACATGGAAACATTTATACTAAAAGCATTTAGGAAAAGCACTTTTATAGAGTATACTTTGAGTCAAAGAGATGGCGATGGCCGAGTCACTTTCTCGAGTCACATAAAGAATCGGCTAGAAGTCTTACCAACTGAACAGTTTCGAGCTATTTTTAGTAGAATTCGATTCAGATTTGTTTGGGCTACAAAATGCTATATCGCCATAAATTTTACCGCCTTCATAGATTCGACCTAGACCCTGAAAAATCAACCGACTCGTGCTTTTCGAAAAGTCTGATTGATCTTTCCGAGTCAGTTGATTTTCATGGTCCAGGTCGAATCTATGAAGGCGGTAAAATTTATGGCGATATAGCATTTTGTAGCCCAAACAAATCTGAATCGAATTCTACTAAAAATAGCTCGAAACTGTTCAGTTGGTAAGACTTCTAGCCGATTCTTTATGTGACTCGAAAAAGTGACTCGCCCATATCTGCCTTTGACAGTGTCCAAAAATCCTGCTATTACTTATGTCTATGAATGGAAATTTTCTAAACGTTGGCAGCAGTTGAAGAAATATCGAGCTCTGCAGTCGGCGGAGAGTTTTTATGTATAGAAGCATAATTCTTACAGAAAATTTTAAGAAAAAAAAGTCCCTTCTATGACGAAAGTGGCCACTTGATTAGATAATTTCAAACACGGTTATATCTATAGTTTTTTTTCACGATTTAATACAGTTTAGAATGTTCACATATCTTGTTGTTTACAAATAACTTCGAAACTTTTTTAAGGCTTCGACATTATAGAGCAAACATTTCTCTACAAAATGAGACCTTCAGAAGGTCTCATTCTCGATGAAGGACCCTTCCACAACTCTTAGCGATTCTTCATAACCAGCTTATACCGGTTTTCTTGTATGCACACCAATTTCTAACTGATGTATACCTGATACCCAATCAGGTTTCTATTCTTGATCGAAATGTCAACAGATCGAATTTCAATTTCATATTTGACTAAACGAGATTAATATGTCTTGATTGCGTGGGTGGTATATTAGTTACAACGGATATCAAAAAACAGTTGTAGGATTATATAAGTACTGCTAAATCAACAGATTGTATCGGAATTGTAAGACGACGTCTTTCATTATTATTTTAAAAAATAGATTTTATAGTGGATCTACGCGCGACATGCACGGTTACTCAGACAATTTTCGAGAAAAATGATGATGATCTCGGTAATGTCAAGTGAAGACAGTAACTAAATGACCAATCATATAGTGTTCTATTCACAGATTATAGTACAATTTCGAAATAAGCTTTTGGTACAGAAAACGCCTCTAGTCTTAGTCACGACTTACCCTTTATCCTCCTCTTTTTCGCCTTGATTTGGTCAAGGAGAAAGATAAAGATTTAATTTAACTGATGTTTTATCACAGATACGTTAGATTCTATCTTAGCTCGAATATATCGAGAAGGAAAGCATGTTTTTGGAAAAAAATATTTAGAATGTGCATGGTTGGATCGTAAAACTGGTGAATGAAATCCCAGTCTACAGAAAACCCATAGAAGAATACCTCAGAAAATTCTTAACAAAACTACATTGATTTTCTTTTTCGATATTCTCTCGCTAGTAAAAATTTGGACTCAGTCGGACCTTTGCTTCCACCTTTGCCGAAAAAATAAAAATGAGAGAGTTATTCCTAAAAAGTAAGCTATCAGAATGACCGTACAAGTAATTATTTACATAAAATATTTTATTATCTTCAACAGGTGTCATAAAGCATTGGATAAACAAAACTATGTTACTTTTAATGTTATACTGATTCTAATAATTGAGACAAGTACATGTCTACTTTGAAAAAATAAAAAAAAGTTTCAATCACGAATGAACGCCTCATCGAGAATCACAAGCCTCTTATACTTCACTTCTTTTCTAACAGTTTGAAGAACTACCTGTTAAGAATGTTATGTTATTATGATAGAGATTTTGATTCATGAATAATCTACGATTTTTAATCGAAATCATCGTAACTTTCAAAGAAAAAAATCAAATAACATACCTAAACAAACAATATTTTGTCCGTGAATGTACGGCGTCTTTTATTTGTTGTTGCTTTTTCCCAACTACTTCGCAAGCGCAACATATTTACAAGCATAAGTACATTATAAATAGTCGAAGGATTTTAGATTTGCGTCAATGATTCGATACATTACATATGTACATTTATACACAATAAATTATGTATTATTACACATATTTTTTTCTTCGCTTCTTTTTTTTTCGCTGTACTTTTTAGTATTCTCTGTCATTTCTTTTTTTTTGCTTCTTCTTCTTATTCATTACATATTCAATCAAATATAGAACCCATATAGTTATCTGTACATATAATAAGCAATGAATAAAAAAAAGTATAAAAAAATTGACATGAACTGATAAAATCATTGTCGACAGGGATAAATTGCTCCCGTCTAAAAAGGAAAAAGAAGACTATTTTCTAATTTTCCTAAATGAATGTAATAATGCATAAACAGTATTAATGAATCAATATCACCAGGTAAAAAAACAAATGAAAAAGATGGTCATAGTTAGTTGCACACAAAGAGACAGCTAATGTAATCTAATCTGATAATATAATTTTCCTAAATAGACATGCTGAATAAGAGATAAATATTCAATATATTTCAGTTAAATTTTTATATACGAGGATGAGGTCATGTTTTATTTTTGTATAATTACGATATACCTGTGTGCTCAATTACACAAATAAAATGCATTAAATTCTCTTGTTGAAAATAATTTCCCCAAATCTCGAGTACTAACCATTGAAATGTCTAGTATTGTCACTCAGTTGCTGATCTCTCTGTAGGATTTCTCAACAACTTGGATGTATTTTGAATTTATTAGTAATTATAACAGAAGAAACAACACTGACAACATAATTCGAACCATTTATTGTATGAAGAAGCACTATGACCAGTACTCTAGAATGTTAGATTCTTTTTCTGTTCTATTCGTTTATAAAAAAAACTTATAGAAAAAATAAAACTAAGAAAGAAAGCATACACAAGAAATACAGAAAAATGATTGTTTCACAACTGAGACAAGAGAGAAAGAGGGAGAGGAGAAAGACAAAGCTTCCAAATGAAGATGTTAGAAAATGTAAAGGGAGGAGGGAGCAATAAATAAAACGACAAGAGAACAAATTGCTGAATCTGTTTGTTGTCTTTATCAGCAAATAAAGAATGAAATAGAGATAGTGTGGATAAAATACTATTGTCATTCAACTTGTACATTTGTAAAACATTCACACATGTGTAGTCTAAAAGAAACAAACGAATATAATAAATGTCAACCTAGCGTTGAGAACAATAAAAACGTAAATAGAGAGAAAAAGAGAGAGGTAATATCAAATGAATGTAATTTATAGACAAACAAGTTAATAAATTCAATATCACTGACTACTTGTTTCCTTCCCATCTTCTATATCTTAACAAGCAGAAAATAATTTTTGTCCATCTTATTTATTGTCAATCTATTCTAGCATTGTTTTTGATCAAATCATTCTTTAACCCGTAAGAACGCGCGCATTGTTTTTGTTGCATATGTAGTCGTACGGGATATTTTTAACTCGTAAAACATTTAGTGCTCAAAATTGTATTATGTAATTTTAATATAATTTTTTTTAAACTGAACTCAATTGATTCCATTCTTGATACAAAAATGATTACAGTTTATTTTGAAAATTGAATACATAAAGAATAGTTTCCTCTGATGACGAAATAGCATAAATAGGATCTTTTCTTAAGTGTCACTTATTTTCAGTTATTTACAACTGACAAATGCCTATATGTAACTCGAGAAATCGCAGGACATCACACAGATGATCAAAAGAAGAAACGTATGGCATACTCCAGCTACTAAGAAGGCAAATACCAGATATTAAATTCGTTCATTAAGTCGAGAAGATGTAGACTTGTGTGTGAATTTTTCTGGTTTTAGTGGTTTGAGTCTTTTGATTGTCGATACACGCAAACTGATACGGATAAAATTAGATGTTTCTTTGACATAGTCAAACGTTGAGTGAGTGGAAAAAAATGTTTTTTGGACTATGTGTAAGAAAAAAGATTTTTCGGTGCGTGACCAAAAAAACAAAAACAGCTGTTGTTTCGCTAGAAGAAAACGAAAAACTTCTATTTACCAGATTATGGAGATTCACAATTGGAGCAATAAAACTACTTCTAGTTTCTATAATGTACTCAGGTGTTGGCAAAAAAATATATTTGTTAAGAGAGATAGTTAGAAGACGACAGAAGTTACAAGAACTTTTTTGGCAATGCTTGAGATTTAAATTTATTCTCATGATCCGTGAAAAATTTCAAAGCAAAAGAAAACCATAAAAAGATAAAATAAATCTAATTCACTACCACGTCTATAAAAAATTGAAAACGAGTCAACATCAAATTTTTCATGTTCTAATTGCGGCGGCCAAGGACTCTATCAGTTTGAAATAAGATGAGATAATTTCTTTTTCTAATATAATGCGGTGAAAATGTCGAACTACAGTAAATTATATTTCACCTAGGCAGATTAAAATAGTACACAATAAATGGCGTATTTCATTCCATTCAACAATTATTTTGTTTTTGCTGAAAAACGTCATCAATCAAAGAAATTTCCTAAACGATCCAGGAAGATCTTTAAATACAATAATCACATGTCCGAATTATTAGTACACAAGAAGGAATATTAAAGAGGTTTAGTACTAATTAATAAATCACATATATCTGTGAGATATTTACTGTAGGAAATAGTATTGTATAATTTATGTATTCCTTTTATTTCAAAGCGTTGCCACCTCACTGTAAGAGATAGAATGACGCCATAGTGTCTCCTTTTCGATAGACTTGAAGAAAGAGATTTATATAAAAATATGTTTACAATTTTTTGACGTATTATACAAAACTATCATATTACTTGAGAAAAAAAGATCTATGAATATTACGCTAAAAATATTATTCCTGTTACAAATTGTGCAAATTAATAAATAATGATACTAGTAAAAACACAATGGTATTGTTTAGTTTTGTTCCCTTGTTTTTTGTTTCACATCCATCATGTTCATCATCTCCCTCACCGAACTCTGGTTGATGATTGGCCGTGATGTTCCGTCCATGTAATTTCTGTGTTGGACGAAAATTCCATTTAACAGAATTGTTACGAAATACTTGTAATTGACGAGCTGAGATGGCAACGGGAGTTGAAAGTAATGTCCATGTGATACCTTCCTTACACGGTGGTGTTGTTAGTGATCCGTTGTATCTATAAAACTTCAAATTATGTCCACTACCACTGCTATGTAAATTCGAATGCATCGTTGGTAATAATTTTGATATATCAATTGACTGTAGTCCAATTTTCATTGTTTCATTTAATGTTTGATTAATCATGGATAAAAAATCACTTAATTGTGAATTATCAGTACCTTGTAATTCATACAGAACACCTAATACGGCATAACGTATATCCGGTGGTGTTGTACTATGAACAAAATGAATTTCTAATGGATATTTACGACCGTCGATGGTGTGTTCTGAACCTTGATACGCATTTAGACCCCAATGCATGTGAAATTGAGCAAGATTAAATGTATCTAATAATTTTGCACCACTCATGGTAATTTTTGCTGTTGAAGAAGGTGTAACCACTATGGTATGACCGTTATGGGTTATATTCCACGTGATACTGGCATTTTTATAGCCATTGAGTATGAGATTATCCATTGTTAAATCATGACGAACTTGTCGCTTTTGAATATTAATAGGAGATTGTGAGTTACCTTCACACTGTTCATATTCATGTGGCCATGTGTCGGGACCGTTATGTTCATAATCCCAATGTGCACTGTGACCGGGTGTTGCTGTTAATGTAGTATCGCAGAAGATTCCTGAACAAAAATTGAATAGAAGACAAAGAAGAAGTCCATTCATGTTTTAAATTTAATAAGTAGATAGAAATAGAGAATAGGACCGTAAAAAACAAATAAATATAGGGTACCAAAATGTCATTCGGTTAGATTAAGCGTGAAATTTTTAAATGTTTTTTGTTATTGCTTGATATTTGATAAACAAAATACACTCACACAATGATTCTTTTTATAACTGAAAAATATAAATACGTATTTTGAAAAACTTTTCTATCGTTCATAAGGAAGTCAGATATCAAATTGTAGAATTAGAAAAATATTAGAAGATACGCTGTATAGCACATCAGATCACCATACATATCCAGAATAACGTTATAGCAATAATTCGTGGTATGATTATTGGCTATAAACAAAGACTACAAAACTCAAACTCAATTTTAATCAACTTTTCGCTATATTTTATATCTGACAACGCGTTGCTTGAATTTATTGTTAAAAGTGCTACATATACTTCTCAGAGCTAAGCTGATGTTATTTTGCAAGCTGTTACCAATACTTTTACATTAGATCTCGTGAGAATATTAATGAAATTCTATCCACAACAGATATTTACCGTTTTATTTTTCCAAACCATACAGACTTTGGTTTGTCGCATTAGTAATTTTCCACCAAAACGTGCGCTTAAAATAGCCTTCAGTGCCCATATGGTAACAAAAATGTTTAAATGATATTTTTCATGCGATTAGTCAAATGATAGGAATATTATAGGCAGCAAAGTTTTTCGAACTTTGCAGATGTCTCAAAACAATATTTTTTCGAATTCGTCTGTTGGTGTATTAACTCATCAAATATTTTCATCTAGAGCAATTACAGTAGTTTTTATCGTAAATATTATGAAGATAGTGAACTGAGCAAATCGAGACAAATTGCATTCAAACAGCTTATAGAAATAATTCAGTTAAAAGTTTCGTGATAGCGGATAGAAGAATGAATCAATCTGAATTGTTGTTTTGTTAATGGACATAATATTTTTATTCTTCTTTCATTGTTATTAATATAAGGCGCTCCAAACTCAAGGTTACCGCGCTATTTTTTCTTGTGGCTCAAATATACATCATTCAGTGCAGAATTTAACACTAATCACGAATATCTACTTTTTAGTCTCCCCAGTGCACGTTTTGCGTCAAAAAATTCCAAAAACTGAAATTCGCCGTTTTTTCAAAAAATCGCTAATTTTTGAAAACACCGTTATATCCAAGGGAGAAAAAACAACACTTCACTATATTACACTACACTTTTTCCACTATGGTAGTGGCCTAGTAGTGATCTTGTAGTGACTTTGTAGTGGTCACGGGTATTGAATAGAAGCAAGTAATAGATATCCTTCTAGCTCAATTTCGATGCTCATATTTCTACTTTACAGATTAATGTACTGATATGACAGTGACTGGTCTTAAATAACTCGTCAGGACAGCGACATATACACACACTCGTGTGTTACTAATACGACGCTTCTCTCTTAGTTTCACTGAAAGACACACTAGGGTTCCTAAAATCACTCCCGCGTCACTTGAAAAGGATCAATCATCTGTCTGTTGTATACTGATTTCAAGACGTAATAATTCCGGTTTTGAATTGTTGTTGCCTCCTTTTTCCTTAGTCTGATTTTGTCTAAGAATATATATATTGGAGATTGTTTTCTGAATGTTTCTATTTAGTTTCTGTTCAACATTTATTTGAAAACAAACATGTCAGGTAGCAATAGCAATGATGATAATGGTGGCAAATATTTATCCAATACCACTGGTCCAGAATTTTGACGATTAATTGAAAAATCATTTTGTCTAAGTGTTAGAAAAATATAAGAACAGAAAAAATTGTAACGAGGAGGCATTAGCATTGATATAGTCGATTATCGCTCTTAGTAACTTCTAAGAATTTCCACTACAGTAATGAATGTGCAGTAGACATCCAGTGGATGTGTAGTGAAGTGCAGTGGACAATCCCTTGTAGTGTAGTATACTGTTGTTTTTTCCCCTTTGGTTATATCTCATTCCGGTCTGGTTCTGGAACCTTGACAAAGTGTTTTTCTTGTCCAGTGTCAAAAACTGCATACAGAAAACTATATTTCAAGGTTCCAGTACGAATAGAAGTGTTCTGGGCTGCGCAAAGTTGAAAGACGTCAATTTTCCTGATTCTCACTCGCAAATCTATCTCTTTTTCTTCCTTAGAAGATGGAACCTTGAATTTGACGCCATTCGATCCGCCTTGAAGTGTAGAACAAAGATAGTTATCCTTTCTTTGAAATTCCTTTTCGTTGCTGAAAGAGTTCATTTCTTCTACATCAGAGTCGATAAAGTCAAAATTCAGCTCCTAATTCTCAATTTTCTCCATCAGAACTCAACTTTTATGCAATAGAAATATCATGTTCAGAATAACTTACAATAGGAGGCATATGTATTATTCAAGAATAATTAAATCTAGTATTAATTGCAACAAAATAATATATTATCTTCTGCGAGCAATCACGTAAAAAGCATTCAAGAACACACGATTTTCAAAATCGAATATAAGATGCAGCTAATTCAAAAAACACAGCACCATTTTTGTTTTCGTTTATTTATACATGGTTGAATAGAGCACATTGAGCTGATTAAGAACGTATGTGTTCAGTCATTCTCAATAAACTGACTCAAATTCAAAAAGCGGTTTCGTAGGTAAACAACAGTGTAGAATCTAATGGTATCACTTTCGGGATTTACAACGGTTTTTCAGAGGGACTTCCGAAACCAGATCTTCTAGAAACTCCTTTTTCTTATGAGAGAAAATACTGAAAACCACCCGGATCGACAGAGAATTAAATTCTGAACAAAATGCGACTCCTTCGAAGTTTCTATGACGTCTTGCTGGCAAGGTATTATATTTTGACCTTGGGCATACCTTCTTCTCGGACTAAAACGAGTCCTCCCGGCAAGTTAAAGATTGTAGAAACCCTCATTTTGTTAAACCAGTTGATTTTCAGTACTTTTATAAAAATATGATGTTTTAATCTTTAAAATACACATCTTGATCTGCTCAATGTGCTCTATCCAACCATGTATAAATAAACAAAAACAAAAATGGTGCTGCATTTTTGAATTAGCAGCACCTTAAGTGTTGTTTGTATACTGTTGCAAAAACAAATCAGCAATTTCAAACAAAAACTTACCCTTAATATTGGATCTGAAATGCGTAATATCTAATGCGATGTGTCGTTGTTTTGAAAATGATGTGCAATATTTTTACCTTGACACGGAACATTGACTTACTAACTAAGTCAATATTTCGTGACATTAGGCTTTTCAACCTTAAAAGTTCGACGTTCAAACAGAATATCCGCAAAACATTAGAATAAAAAGTGACTTTCTTGATTTTTCAATTCCAGAATTATCTGTACAATATTAAATAGTATATATTCTGAAGTTCTAAGGTTGTTTAAATCATTTCGATGGAATTTCGAAATGCGTTGTTTTAATATTAGGTGAAAATAGCTTAAAACGGTTTGTTCGATCAACAATCAATTTTGATGAAGTTTTTGAATTATTTTCAATAAATATTGCCACAATGTTCAGCGTGACCATTTCCTTGTGTTCTACTTTATTTTCAGAGCACCAAAAGTTACTAAATATCCGTTTTGAGTCTACAGGAAAACTCGCTGTTAGATCTAAACCGTTGAGCAGATCGCTATCTCTTTTCGTTCTTAAATTATTCAAAAAAAATAACTAATAACTGAGGCAATTTTTTTTTGAAACAGGTAGTATAGAATAGGGCACCTTATTTGAATGATATATATCAGAAAAGTTTAGCTGGAGGATCCTCAAAAAATAATTTTAAAAAGTAGATAAAGCGAACCAATTTTTGAGTGTAAATCGTGCCTGTATAATTTATTGTGATGTTGCTCAGTGTTCTTTAAATTTGATTGTGACATGAAATTTCTTTTCCAACAGTTTTACATGAATTTCGAAGACAAAAAAAATGGGTTTCAAAATGTATATAGTACATTTTTCTCTCATTTTGATTTAGGTACGTAGTGAATCATTTTATAAGAATAACCTCTTTGAATGCCTCTTAAACGATATTTGCTCTAACTAATGATAACAGGAAATGTTTTCATTTTTGACTTCCAATATAAATCAGATCCTTTATACTTCTAGAAAATAATAAATATTTCCAATTTGGCAATGGGTTTTCGTTTCAAAAATTATCAAAGATAATGTTTCTAAAGAACATATGCAGATACGTTCAATTTCAATAACATAGGTCAGAAAGTTGTGACTGATTACATTATCACCATAATTTGACAGAAATAACTTTAAATAACTACTGTATTATATATCCTGCTGTACTTCAATATATTGAAAATAGTGGTAGATTTGAGATATAATTAACGGAATGGCTATTGACACGCCCGGACGTGTCAACAAGGCACTATTGCCACTCCTGGGGTGTCAACAAAGAGCTATTGCCACTCCCTGGGCGTGTCAATTAAGAAAACAATTATTTGATATGTCAAGTAAGTGAATGGTTTTTTATGATATACAGAAGAATAGATAATCTTGTCAAAATCAGGCAAAGGTCTATGAAGGAATAAATGCCCCGTTTCTGGCACTAATCCCAACTAGTAACACCTAGAAAAGTAATTTGATTGCTTGCTTAATTTGCTTAAAATTTTAATATTTGTTTTTAAAGAAAAGCTGTATAGTAAAAAAGTCAGTGAAAAGAAAAGACGGAGCGCTTTCGAATTCTTTTTCAAAGCTTGGAAGTGAAGAGAACGAAGTGAAGCTAACTGGAAACGATGAAGAAATGAAGATTAATGCCTTTATATAAGAAAATATCTATATGAATCTCAGTAGAGAACAAGACTATATAAATGTCAGTTTCTAATGAAGATAAATTTGCAGGCTCCGTTTTACGAAACAGATATGAAAGAAAATGCAAAATAAAAGAAAAATATTATTTACACTTATACTCAGTTAGTCTGAGAAAATGGATAAAACTACTTGCTAGGAACCTCAAGGAAAAGTTTGAAAAGATTTCTTCATCTTACGGATGCGTATGTATGTACAAATTTGTCTGTTTCATAGGAAGTGTGTGCATAGTGGGGAGAGGCAGTATGAGAGTGAGTTCACCTACAATATCCTGTTCCCCATCCGAATGAGTTTTTTGATTGTTCTAAGTCTTAAAAATAATAATAAGTCATGGAAATAAGTAATAAGTGCTAGTGATCGTTAATGATGATTAATAGTAGATGTTGGAGATCTAAATAAAACAATTTATTAGTGTGCAGCGGACTGCGCTCATAACAAGGATCTTAAAAGTTATTTTCTAATTAGCATGTTTATTAGATTCTCGGACAATCTGGTGGCGAAAATACGACAGACATCTGCGAGTAGTGTATCCTCAACAGCATCGACCTATAACTGATAGAAAACTGATTGTGAAATTTGCCAACGTTGGAACAAATGTAAAATGAATTAATAAATCGTTTGCAGGGTATACTGTCTTTTTACTACTCTTTTTGGGACGGTCCCAGTTGACTTCCCGAATTTTTGCCCTACAATAGTCACATTTCACTTGTGTTTTATAACATCAAATTACTTTTCTAGGTGTTACTAGTTGGGATTAGTGCCAGAAACGGGGCATTTATTCCTTCATAGACCTTTGCCTGATTTTGACAAGATTATCTATTCTTCTATATATCATAAAAAACCATTCACTTACTTGACATATCAAATAATTGTTTTCTTAATTGACACGCCCAGAAAGTGACAATAGCTCCTTGTTGACACGTCCGAGGTGTCAACAGACTCACTCTATAATTAATTACTAAGTATGCGTTTGGTTTATTTAACTCTCGCTCTCCAGTGCTAAATGCCCCTTTACACTTATTTAGTATGTTAACTTACCTATTAATTTTCTTTTTATGTCTGCAGGTGCTGCAGCGCATTTTTGTTTTTTTTTCTTTTTTATAGTAGTTCGTTCTGAGAGATTAGGTGCAATGACTCTTGTCGATTCCAGTCTACCAGAAGCACTATGTTTGTATTTTCCTTATTCTCAATAAAGTTTAAACTAAACTAACTTTAAACAGTTCAACGTGATTGTATGACGAAATAATGAAAATACCTGCTTAACGTTAAAATTTCCAAATTTGTTTTTGACGTTGTTAGCGTTTCAAATAACTTTTCAAAGCAAAGATATTATAATAAATCCAGAAAGATGATCTGCAATCCTGTAAGCAAAACCTCTTTTTTCTCAGAGACAATGAGAAATAGAGAGAAGAGAAGCATCGTATAAACAGTTTACGTCGTTCAACGTGATAGAAAGTTTAAAGTTTCACATTCAGATGGAATTACTAGCGTTGTGGCTGAACTTCACCGTAAAAAAGTGACGTCTTAAGTATGAATATACTTTATTAAAAATAGATAACCAAAAATAACAGCACCGAATAAAACAATCATAAATCTTCTACTATTCTTTGTTGTAGTTTCTTTTCTTCGTTCAAGCAATTCCTGAACGAAATCATGAAGTTTTTGAGAAAATATTTGAAATCCAAAATTTCCTATCACATGTCTGCGTCCTTGTTTACCGAGTTCTAAATAGAGATGAGGTTGATTAACAAATAATTTCATTTTTTCGGCAAATTGCTCTTTAGTAGCTTTGCATAAATAACCCGTTTTTCCATCTAAAATTGTTTCCAATGGTCCACCAGTGTTAGTTGCTATACACGGTCGTTCAGCATACATTGCTTCTAATGGAACAATACCAAAATGTTCATATTGAGGCGTATACAACACACATTTACATCGATTTAAATAGACTAATTTTTTTTGATCTGTAAATGATTGAACAAATGTAACATTGGATTCGAGAGATAAGTCATGAACTAAACGATCCAATTCTAAATAATATTCAACATTTTCTGTTATACGCCGATCATAACCACCAATTACAAATAAGTGTGTTTGCTGCCATTGTTCATCTAGAAGATATCAATAATAAAATAATATAGATATCTAATCGTTCAAAATATTAATTTTTAATCACAAACCTGTTAGTAATGATTGTAAATGTGCCATTGCTTGTATAGCTAATTGTAAATCTTTTTTTCGTTCATATCGATTAATTGATAAAAATAATGTTTTTACGTTCGGAGGAATATTATTTACAAGTGAATTATCAATTATTTGATCTTTTAAATTAATTTCATTGATTGTTGGATACAGAATATCAACTGTTGAAATATCAATTCGTTTACCAAATGTTTGTTGAAATATATCTCTTGTATATTGACTATTCACTAGTGTTTTATCAGCTAAACTTGTTGTATAAGCTTCTAAATAATCGATGACATATCTATATAATTTTTTTAACAATGTTTGACGTTTCGTCAGTAATTGATCAGGATAATGACAATAGAATAATACAGGTTTTTGTGATTGTTTTAAAATGGGTATACATGCACTTATTTGATCACAAATATAAATATCATACGTTGATGACGAAAAATAAACAATGTACAAAGATAATAGAATCATTCGAATATAGGCACATAACGCATAAAATCGACCAAAGACATGACGAGGAAACCATGAACATTTAACAATAATATTCAATTGACCATTTCGAGTTTCATCAAAACAACGTTTATCATCATGATAATTTGTATATAAATCGAGATCATGATGTTTGGATTTTAATCCCACACATATGTCAACAATTAATCGTTCAGCGCCACCAATACCCAAATCGGGATGTAGTACACAAATCTTAACCATTCCAAAAATAGATGATATTATTTACAACAATATCGTATGTATCGTTCAAATCTTTCCGCTAAAACTATAAAGAAAATTATATTAACGGAAAATATGATATTTTCATCTTCTTCTATGAATGTGACTGCAACTCACAAAAAAAAACATATGAAGACGTAAAAATCATACGATTAAGTATCAAAAGTGAAATAATTACTTAAATTATGCTATTCTCAAGTTAACGATAATTTTTATGTTGAAAACTTTAGATGGAAAAGATGAGAATAAGTCATCAATTCCATAAGTCCATCAAAGGATGAACTCTACTAATTCAAGGTAGAGTTCATATTCTATTCTTATCATAAGATCATTTCATTTTCTGTTGTTTGTTTATTAATAAATTAATTTCAATTAATGTACATTATTATCTTAATACAAAAAACACTGTATTCGACTAAAGGAGGATTTGTATATATATGAAAAAGAAAACATACAAAACATATCAGAAATAGACGAAAGAAAAATTACAAAAAACACAAAACTTTTTATCAAAAAACAAAACAAGTGATGAATACAAAAGGAAGGAATTATCAATTATCTAGACGAAAACGGTAAACATGAATATAAATTTTTATTTGACAAAAATATTGAAAAAATAGAAATAGAAAAGAAATAAATAAATAAGTTGTATATAATAAATGCATAAAATAAATATCTTGCATTTTAGAAATAAATGCAAAAAATAAATCTTTTTTTTGTCATTAATATGAAATACCATCGGCATCATAAGGCTAAATAAACATAAACAAATTAGTTTCAAAAGCTAAATTATTCACAAACTTTTAAAATATAGCTGATATGAATGTGACAAACCTGCTGATATATTTGAGATAAAATTTCAACAAGTTTGGTCATCCTTTAACATAAAAAGCAAGCAAGGAAACAAGCGAACATGGACAAAGAATTATATATATATCACTATAACGACAGCACACTACACATTATTCCTATTGTATTAATGATACTTACTTGTGAATGACTTAACAAATATTCCTTATCATCGAGTTCTTTTGCTGCCATATGGTTTTGAATAATTTTCATACGAATTTCAGTCTGGAACAAAGAAACAAATAATTATAAGGACTGTCCAAGCTTGACATAGTACCAAAAGTTTGCTCGCAGTTACACAGCGATGTGCGAGATACTGCAGTGATCTGTTGACTATTATTTTGTAAAAGCGTAGCAGATAGTTATGAAAGTGTAGATGACTTTAGTCTAGCAATAATACTGGAGAAAAGGTAAATTTTGAATGATACACGTTATATATATTTTAAATTGGTATAACTCAGTCACACGAATCAACTCTATTGCAATATCAAACAAAGTCGTCTGAGAAAATATTTTCGAACAGAAATTTTATTTATGCTTATAGCTTGACTTACCAATTCTTTCAGTTGATTATGCAACTGATGCTTTTCTCCATTTAATCTATTTATTTGTACACGATGTGCCTGAGGATCCATTTCTAAATCGGCTATTTCTGAATCTTTTTCACTGAGCTGGCCTAATAATTTTTCTTGCCTAAAATAAAAAAACCATAGTACTAATTTATCTTTATCTAACAATTTAACATGTATATCATACTGTGAAATAAACGCATTATCCAACTGTTTAATATGATCTTCAATCCTTGCTTCATAGTCTTTTTTTCGTTGACTCAACTCATATTGACATTGAGTTAGCATATGACGTTGTTCATGATTTTCTTCTCTCAAACGATCTACTTCAGTTTGTAAAGTTTTTATCTAAAACAGCAAGAAATTTAAAATGAGCTAAATAATGGTTAATCTCTTTAGAAAAACCTAACTTGAATTTCATTTTACCTGTTTTTCTAGATTATCTAATTTTCTTCGCTGTTGTGCCATAGCATATTCTCTCTCCGTTGTTATTTGTAAACTTTCTCTCACAGCTTCTTCTAATTCTTCAATTCGTTGTTGTTTTTTTCTCATGTGTTCGTCTTGCTCTTGTTGTTGTTCAATATTTTCTTCTTTTGTTTTATTTTCTGTCAATTCTAATTGCATCCATTCAATCTCACGTTGTGATTTATTTTGCTCTAATTCACAGGTACGTAATAGTTCTTGTAAAGTTCTATTTTCCAACGTCAATTTGTCTATATCTTTTTGATCTTGCGTTGAATGTTGTTGTTGTTGTTGTTGTCTCGTTTGTTGTTCTTTCTCAAAACGTTTTTTATACTCATCATATTTATCGGTTAAACTCTCTTCTAATGTTTGTAACGATAATTCTCGACGTGTCAATTGTGATTTAGTGTTATTCAACTGTTCTTTTAACTCAATTATTTGATTCTTAAACAAAGCAAGAAGAGAAAGTGATTTTATATTATATTAGGAAAGAGACACCTACTTGTCCTTCATAATAATCCTTTTCTTTTTGTTCTAATTTTTCTCTTGAATCATTCAATATTTTTTGCATTTGCTCTAACTCATCTTGATGTTCAACATCCAATGTATGCTTTTGTTCACGTAATTTTTCAATTTGTCGTTCTTTATCTTGTAATGTTTGCTCTAAATTCATCACGAGAGTTGAATTAACTAATTGATTTTGATGTGTCTGATACGTGTTTGTCAATTTTGCACGTGTACTGGCTATTTGAGATACTTTATCTTTCACTTGTTCTTCTAAGTTTTCAATCTAAGAAAAAGAAACATAATGTCGATAATTAGACTTTTATTAAGGAATGCGATTTACAGAAAAAGTTACGTTCATTAAATCTTCTGTATATACGTAAGACGACTAATAGTCTGTTAAAAAATGAAACATTAGTCCTATAAGATTAAACGTACCTTTCTATTAAGTAGATTAATTTTTCGATCTTTAATATCTAACTGTTGTTTTAATTCAATTAAATCGGAATCACGTTGTTGTCGTTCTAGTCGCGTTGATTGAATTTTGACATTTTTACGTTCAATAATTGAATCTTTTTCTTTTAAACGTGTACGAAGATCACCAACCTGAATGAAAATAAAAAGCGTGTAATTCTCCAACACGAGCATAAACAAACATATCAGTGACTCTATGCATTACACATAATTGATAATGACCATTCTACAGTATTATCAAAAATCAAGAAGCTGTTAAAACACTTGTTTCTCTTTTGAGCTCTTCTGAATAGTTAAAACATCCAGCATCATCCAGCATATTTATCAATGTTCTATTATATGAGTAGTATTAATAAAACAGCAGCTTTATTCAAAAAAATTTTCATTTTTTTAGCCAAATTCAAGCAAAACTATCATACATTGTACAAAGTCTTCAAAGAATTGTAGTAATGCAAACAAGAATTCCATCGAATGACTGCAATGTTAAATGAATATTTTAAAGATTTTTCTTGAAAGAAACTCAACAGGCTGCATATAGTTTTTCTCAATATTTTTCTGGAATAATGATTCTTCGTACTTACTTCTGATTGTACCATGGTTACTTGCTGATCTTTAATCATAATCGATTCTTTTAATATTGTGATGTAATGTTGTAAATCTCTTTCTTTACTTTCATATGTATCTACTTTTGCTTTTAATGTTGTACATTCATTTTCTTTCCCATGTAGATCGTTATGAAAATGATCGAGCTTATCTTTTAGATTTTTTTCACTGTTTTTCAAAGTTTCTATTAGAGATGTTTGGTTGTTCGCTGTTGAGGAATCTTGATGTTGTGGCTGTTGCATAGTAGATCCTTTAGATGGACATCGATGTTGGCGATACTGTTCTAATTCCTCATGCAGTTGATGCACTTGGATTTCTAATGTTTGAACATGGAATTCCTGCAAAGAAAAATTATTTAATAACAGACGTAAGAGGCAGAGACACTACGACTGACTTATTTACCTGATTATCTGTTTGTTTTGATCGTTTTAATTGTTCGTCTTTTCTAATTGATCTTTCTTTCTTTAATTCTGGACTCCAATAAGTTTTTATACTTCGAATTGTTGAATTCAGTTGCTCTTTTGTTAAATATAATTCATGCTCGAGACCATTAATAACCATTTGTTGTTGTTGCTGATTATGATGTGTTCCACCGCCGCTAAATGTCGTTGTTCGACGTACGTTTGTATAATTCAATGGGTAAAAAGCTGAACTTGACGAACGATTCATATATTCTGACTGAGGTTGTTGTTCTCGTTCAAGGTAGTATAATCGATCAGCACTCCCATGTCGATGATTTATACTACCTCGACATGGAGGAGTTGTGATCCTTGTTTCGAGACAAGAGTAAATCAATTCATTAGTTTCATCTTGAGGATCGTAATAAGGAGATCGTGATGGAAGACAACATTGCTGTTGTTGCTGATAATCATCACTAGAGTTTTGTGATGCTGGCTTTTGAGTAATAATATCACGTTTAGATGATGGTGGCGGGAGTGGTGCTTTTGATTTAATAACAGGAGGTGGCTCTTGCTGTTGTTGCTTATACGGCTGATCTACACTTATCATTTGAAGAGAAGGTTCGATGGAAATACAATTTGTGGATTTTTTATCAGGGGATGAGGAATGGCTTGAAGGTGCTGATAATGAGTCAGCTGTTGTCGTGGTTGAAGTAGATGAAGTGGATGGAAATGAATGAGACTGTTGAACATGGTTTTCAGTCGTTGGTGGCGGAGTCACAGATTCCAATGGTACATTCTGACCAATATCTAATAATGGTGTACAACTGAGATCACCTAAACAGTGCAGATATGTATCATTACAGATCATCATAATGATTAACATTCGAGTGAGATAATCAGTCCACATTAAGAACTAACTATTTAAAGTAAAATTTTTTACCTAAACTATTGGATGTGTGAATTGAAAGTTCATTATTATTAGTATTCGTTGTTATGCTTGATACTGAATGATTTGAGGGTAATGAGGGTATTTCGGTTTCTAGCGAATCATAGCTATTACTGTTTTGATTTTTTTTAATAATAACTATTGGAATATTCGCTAACTTTGAAATTTCATCTGTTATTGTATTATCGGAAAATGAATTATCATCGATAATATTGTTGTATGGTAAATATATTAAACCATTTGGTTGCTGTTGGAACTTTTCGGTATCGCTCACTATCGCAGACATTGTGGCTAACCTTCTACTTTTGCACCATCTAAAACGAAAAAACATAGGATTTTTTATGGTGCCAGCTCGACAATGAACAACTAACTCTTAAAAGGTTTCATCGTTCCTCTTAAAGTGAACATTTACTCGGTTTTGTAAGTCAAATAATTCTACCTTCTTCTCTCGTCTTATAGTCTCACTGCGTCACGCATAAGATACCAAGCTCATCGACTTTTAGAAGTTGAATTTGTTCACAAAAAGTGAGAGATTAATAAGGATCTTTGAATCAAAGCAACTCAATGACTCTACACTGACAAAGGTAAGTTCGTAAGTTTTGTTCTATCAAAAAAAGAGACAGCCGAAGTCTTGATTAATAATCAACGAAGCCAGAACAAAATCAAGGTTTCCAATGACAAATCGTACTTTTGATTTTCGAAGTCAGTCAGTTTGTTCCACAGTCTTTACTATTAATTAGTTCTAACTTACTCGTCATGTATGTATTACAATCTGAAAGAAAATGTAAATTGTACATGGCGAAATTCAAAGTTTATTACTCTAGAGAATCTTTGCTTATAATATGGATGGTGGAACAAACCATGGGAAAAGGTGAGGACGAAAAGATTAGTAAATCGGAAATATTAGATAACTAGCTGCTATATAAGAGTCGCGATAGTTTTTGTTTCTTAAAACTGTATTTTCTTGTGATTATTTATATTTATCCTTATTAGTTGAACGAACTCGTATGAGCAGACAGTTCAAAACTCTTGTGCCGTCTACGATAAAAACAGATTCTATCTATACATCCATCCTAATATAAACAAAACAATAAAGCACAATGATCGATTCGAACCTTCAGTGCATGACTATTCTCTTGGGAGATTTTTAGATTAGTTTCCTACCAAAACTAAACAAGGTGTCAAACTAGATCAGATATTTATTTCAAGTCAAAAGCAGAAATAAATAGCTAAAAGAAATTTTATTCTATGCTGGCTGCTCTTTTTACGTTCAAGCTAAAGCAGTTGGATAATTTTGTACGAATCCACTTGTCTACACCATAATGCACTTTTGTCTTTTTTAATACATGACAGGGGTTGTTACCTCAATAACTGTCGAAGTAATGGCTAGTTAATCATCACATGCATAGAATTACGGATGTATCGCGTGCGATATATATTTTCTTTCCTAACTTTGTGGGTTTGTGCATGTAATTTCACTCCATAGTCTACAAAAAGCATTCATTTCCTGCCGGAACTGCGGTCAGTCGTGAAAAACTCTGCTCCTTTTAATTTCTACAACCTTTTGAATAAATTATATAACATAACGTGCTATCAGGAAGTCATAGATGGAAAAAGTTTTGTATTCAATTTTATGAAACCAATGTTTAACGGCTTTTTCCCTCTAGAGCATATTGGTAGAACTGATTTTAAATATTTGGTAGTCCATATTAATGGTATCCTCCTAGGGAAATTATAATAGTTCTATTTTCTTCATATTGATATGAAAAGATTTTAGCAGTCAGATAGTTGCAGTTTTAGTTTTTTTGTGAAAAATACACATCTGTATGAGAGAACTGCAGTAGATATGTAAAGTTTCAATGAGCTTTTTGCGAAAATTGACATTAATACGGAAGAATTCTGACTGTTAGAGCCGATGGCGGACCTTTCAGGGAGGTAGAAAACGATATTTTTCCTACTTCTACTCATAAGGGAAAGTTAAACCTCTAAAATTTTCGATTTTACCCAAAGGCGGCGAAAAAACTGGTAAAACCCACTTTTTTGTTTGATTCTTAGGTACTGACAGTTACTGGAAAGCACATGGCTAGATCCGCCTCAACGAGAGCTTTTGATTCGAGAATAGAAAAGCTGGATATTATTTGGTTTTGGCGGTTTTATAGCGAAAATACGCGAAAAAAATGTGACGTTACTTTTTCGCCGTAAATTCAACATCTCTCGTTTAAGAAAAAAGACTTTTAATCAATTTTTTTCTCAAAATGTAGAATTCGACCGGATCCATAAAGCTACAAGAAAAACTTTTCTCTAGGACTAATGGATCAGTTTTTGTAGCCGCAACAAGATTGAAGCGTGATGTACTCTTTAGTTGCAAAATCACGTTTTTAAACTGAGTATACTTTACCTTGCGTCTAAACGGAACCACTTTGACAATTCCTTCTGACAGTAGATTGCGTGTGTTTCAGATTATCTTTTGACTATTTTGAAGTTAGATGTTGATTAAGTTTATCTGATAAAAAAGCAGTGGGAAGTGGGACGTTACTATTTCAGCTTTTTTCACGTCCACACTCTTTTTCGCATGATAGGCCTTAAAAACAAAGTTATTTTTACAAACAAATTATACAGTTTTGTAGCCTAAACAATTCTCTGTCCAATCACAAAAAAAAGTTTAGAAAAGAGTTAAAAAAATACGTACAGGAAGAATTTTGTTGTAGCTACCAGCGATGTACCACACAAAATATCATGAAAAATGTGCGATGTTTCGCAAATATCCCGGAACGGGTGAGAGATGAAACCGTTCTTTTAGTAGCGTAACTAGAGTACAGTGTCCTGAGTAAAATAGAAAAAATTTATTAACACCGGGTAGGTAGAACGGGGGATAGAGGCTCGACCACAATTTGTTCTGTAGCGGTGCATATCAACTGAAATTCTCCCATATATTGACTACAAGAAACATTTCTTAAAACTTATTGGTTTGTTAAAACATTTTGTAGAATGTCATTTTTCAGGTCTTTCTTTATTCCTCATTTTCTCACACTATTGATCGCATCAGGAAGAAAATAACGATTTCTCTAAGTTTGAAAAAGCCTCAATGGGACCATTCTTAAGTACTGCTTTATTTGTTTCTCTTGTCCTTTTCTCTCTAGATACTTCTGAATGATTCAAATAAACGGAAACCTTTCAAGTTTGCTCTGTTTTTAGTTAATTTATTTCTGATTTTGGTGCAGAAAAGGAACGAGCATTCAGCGGGTTTCACATCGCTGATCTACGTATACGATTATTTTTTAACGAAACAAACGTACGTACACATACGCACACATATATATTTTAACATTTAAAATCACCGATGGACAAATATGAAAAAATAAAAAAAATAGGCGAAGGTTCATATGGTCAAGTATTTAAATGTCGAAATAAAGAATCAGGTGAAACAGTGGCAATTAAAAAATTTATTGAATCCGATGATGATCCAGCAATTAAACGAATAGCAATGAGAGAAATAAGAATGTTAAAGGTTTGTATAATATTCGTCAATAATTTTAAATTTGTTAAAATTTTTGTTGATTTTATAGCATTTAAAACATGAAAATTTGGTTAATTTAATTGAAGTATTTAAAACAAAACGAAAGCATAAATTGCATTTAGTATTTGAATATTGTGATAGAACCGTGTTAGATGAACTCGAATCACATAGAAACGGGTATTAAGGTGTTTTTTTATGTTGTATCTGATTTATTTTGTCTAAAAATTCTATTCATTTTTTCTAGAGTACCAGAAGTAATGATTAAAAAAATAACTTATCAAGTTTTGAATGCCGTTGAATTTTGCCATCGACATAATGTAAGTTAAACACAAACGTATAGGTTTACTATGCTATTTTAACTATTATATATGTTTTAGTGTATACATCGTGATGTTAAACCGGAAAATATTCTTATAACAAAACAAAATATTGTTAAATTATGTGACTTTGGTTTTGCTAGATTAATGAGTATGTTTAAATGTTTATCTTTCTGATTTTATATAAAAGCAACTGATTATCTGGTTACAAAGGATAAGGTCATTTTTCATTCTTAAATATTTTTCAAAAAAACATATGGTTAGAATCAACGTCAAATTCTAAATAAAGTAACCCACTTAGATTTTTGTAAAATTCGAAAAAGGATACGAAAAATAGGTTAGGGAAAATTCGAAAATTTTTATTCTGGTTGAACTCATATTTTTGTAATCTATAAGTTATCGACACTGCTGATCACGAATATCATATTCATTTTGTTTCAAAATGTTCATGTGAATAAGGAAAACAATTTAGTGTATTTTTCTGAGATGGCGTATTTTTGATCTATTTCAAGTTTTGAACATTTGTCGACCGACTTTTAAGATGATTTTGAAACAATCAAAAATTTGTTCTGATGTATAAAAATGTTTGCTTTATCCGAATCATGCAAAATATAACCTTGAGAAATTCTTCTTTCCGTTCTTTTTTTTTTGTTTGGTGTAAACAGAAAATTAAGTAAAAATCCGTGAATTTTGTTTCCATATAAGATGTTTAAGTTAAAATTAAATTAAGTCTCAATCTAAGAAGTTACATATATAGTTCGATGCAGTTTTTCGCTCTCTTTCTGAATATGACCTTACAATTGTAAAGAAGGATGTAGAGTAAGGGTGTTACTTTAGTTTTATTGTTCATTTATAATACTGGATAAATAGAAACGGTTTTTTGAAAATAAAGGTAGAAATAAAGAAAGAAATATAAATGATTTATTTATATTTATTTTCGAAAGTTACACTTTATTAATACTTCTATTGTAGAGTAGAGTCAAAATTAACAAATATGAAAAATGAGATAAACGTTGACCGATATTTGCTCAATTTCGCTACTAAAATAGCTTTTTACTTTAAAATAAAGATGATATTGGTAATCTACGTAAAAAACTGCATCGAATAATGTGCTATTTAAACGTTTTCCGAAAAGTTTGTTTTTGTAGAAAAATCGCCTACATACCCCTCATACAAAAATATTTTATCGAAAACGTTGATTTTTTTTTCTTTAGAATTCAGTTTATTTTGAATTTTGTGCATTGAATCGACAAAGAAACGGTATTAACAGTTTAGACTTAACCTTTTGAAAAAAGTGTTTTTTCATTGTCCTGAGAGGCAGGTACCGTGATTAGCGGTGTCGATAAGTTATAGATCACGAAAATTTGGATTCAAGCTGAAAAAAAACTTTAGAATTTGCTTTGGCCTATTTTTCGAATTTTACAAAAAATCTTATTAAATATCTTATTTTAAAAATGACCTAACTGCTATTAACTACTGTTCGAAAATATTGTATTAAATTGGAGATTTCAACCATTTTTAACGCTTTTTTTTTCAAAGTTTCATCTTCTATTTTTAGCACAACAACTCGAAATGACTGATTACGTAGGTAAGTTAAAATAAATTCACTTATGTATACAAGATTCTCTGTGCAGGTGTATAAATCATGTTGAAAGATTTTTTTCTCATACATTCTGTTTTTGTTAGCTACACGATGGTATCGCGCTCCTGAACTATTAGTTGGTGATCGACAATATGGAACAGCTGTTGATGTTTGGGCTGGTATAATCTTCTACTATTGTCGATATATTAAATGTTGAATTTTTTATTTTCATTTTTTAGTTGGTTGCGTGTTTTGTGAATTATATTCCGGCGTACCGTAAGTATAACTGTCTTAGATCAGTTGCTTTTTTTTGTGTTTGTAGAACTGTTCTACTTTAACTTTTACTTCTCCATTTAGATTATGGCCTGGAAAATCGGATGTTGATCAATTATATTTAATTCGTAAAACACTTGGTAAATTTTTTTTTATCTATGTCAGTCGGACATGAATTTAACTAAAAATATTTTTTTTGTAATTTAGGTAATTTAATTGATAAACACATAAGTATATTAAAAAGTAATCCACATTATAAAAATGTTCATATTCCCGATCCGGATATTATTGAACCATTAGAACAAAAATTTCCGTATGTTTCTGAACGTTCATTAGATTTTATGAAAGTAAGTAGCTTATATAATAATTTTATCTATTAACAACTTATTCACTCATTTAAGAGTTGTCTTGTTATGGATCCGGAAAAACGTTTTACATGTTCACAATTATTACAACATCCCTATTTTGATGGTTTCAGTAATGAATTTGATCGTGAAAAAAAAGAACAACAAAAACAATTACATCGTGAACAACAAAAACTTATTCAACAACAATCAAAATTACAAAATACTGTTTATTCACAAAGTAAACAACAGAATCAAGGCGTAAGTAATATTGATAATTAAATTATGTGATTTTCACAGTTAATTCATTATTTATCTATATGAATCCATTGTAACTAGTCTAGATCGGACAGTGTAATTATGTAATTTATTCTAGCATTTTCCACCATTATCTCGTAATCAAGAACATGAAGGAAACAACACGCCGGCATCTGATGAAAGGGGGCGAAATTTTCATTTACCCAATATATAAAATTAATTTATCTGTTTTCAGTAAATACGATTACTCAATTATAGCTTTAAAATATACACCATGTATTTTGATGAGTTTTGCCCACTATTATTTTTATTGTGCTTCAGTTATTTTGCTGATGAAAAACTATTGATAGCTTACACAAACGTTTTTCTGCACTGGAATTATTTTTACACCATATTCACTGTTATGTTTTAAACTGTTCTTATTTTAGAGACTGAAAAAAAGTGAAATCAATTAGTGATACATTATGATGTCTATAGGAGATTGCTAAAAAGAAAAAAGAAAAATTATAATTTGTATATACTCTCTTAGATGACCTGAGCAACGGATAGTATCGTTTATTATAGAAACGTATAACTTTCGCTGTTCAATTATCCCATTAGATAATAAGAAACACATTATTCAATTATCCAAAGAGTGCCTTTAAGTCACTCTGCCATGTTTATCTCACACGCTTTGTTTTGTTTCCAAAAAAAAGAGATGTTTTGCATATACAGAATGATCATTCATATTTTTTTTTTCTTTCTTTATAGAAAACATTACCAAGTCTTACTGGCATCACAGGTACCCCATTTGCATCTATACATGGTCCACAAGATTTTTTATCTCAAACTCGTCCAAGTCGTTTAGAAATATATTTAGATCATGATCAACGTTTAAATGTTAAATCACGTTTTGGTCAAACAAATACGAACGATTCAGACAATATTAAACCTTCACCACAAACAACTAACCATAAAAGACTGGCATACGGTGATAATTTTACACATTTTCCAAATATTTAATTTATTCAAAAGAGAGAGAAACTTGTTTTTTTATGTCTAGATACTATTAGGATATTAAGTAATCAAAGAAGAGGATAGAAGGGTGTCGTAAATGATTACTTTTGCTTACTAGGGGAGAGGGAAAGGTTAGTGAAGATTACGTAATTATTTAAATATTTTTGTATAGTTGAATACTTTTTATGTATTATTAACGTATATTATACTATTTTGCTGCATATGAAACTTGTTAATACATGTTGTAATGGCTCCATTAGACAGTAATTTAAGCGCGGATAACTATTTATTGACGATCGAAATCTATACGATGACGAACAGTGCTGATAACAAGAAATTCCATCAATCTTATTCAAAAACAGATTAGTGAGAATTGAACTAAAAAAACGCTCATGAAAAAATTAAAACAATATTGAATATGAATTAGAAAAGTATTATAACTGTGCTGCATAAAAAAAACTGCTTTTTAAATGATTACGGTAGTTGATCAGGATGGAAGGGCATGGGTCTTTGAATGATTACTTTTGTTTATGAGAATGAGGAGACGGGCTCAACAACCCTGATGTAGTAATATCTGAACAGTCTTCTATCGAAAATTGTTTGTCGTTGCTGTTGTATATTTTTTGACTATGGAAGTGCGTTGTGTGTTTTTGTTTATTGTCACATACAAACTAGTGGTACATGTATAAAGTATATGTGTATTTTACATATTTTCAAAGTCTATTTCAACAAACGAAAGATTAATCTACAAAGTCTTTCGTTCCTCATCACCACCACTTAATAGTGGCTCTTTATTATTTCTATATAAAGTTTCTGCAATAATAAATACATACATTTATATATCTTCTATTTGGTGATATCCGTGTAAGGCGCGAGTAATCCGAAATTGCGACACTGTTTTATTTTTACTTTATTGTGTACTAAAAGATAGAGCTCAGTGAGCTGATCAAGGATAACTAGGTTTCAGTTCGGAAAAGATGATTTTTCACGATAAAAATTTGAAAATACTGGAAGAGTCTTAAAATTCGAAAAACCGTTTTAGTAAGAAAAACTTTGAATATCTTGGTTCGGTTGTTTTATAAAGCTATCTAGTTTTTTCTACTAAGAGGTGCAGCTCTATTTCATATGCCATTCGATTCGCCGTTTCACGAGCAACAAAAGTACCTGTCGCTTTTTTAAAAGGTCCTTTTCACTGCTGAGAAA